TGGGAATCCTTGTCAACAAGGCCAGTTCAGTGCCCCAAGGTTTACAAAATCTGTGATTCAAATAACATCAACAAAAATCCCAAAAAACCCAAGTCAACAGTTTACAAAGACTGAGAGAACAATGACGAACACGAAACTGGGATGGTTTTCCTATGCATGCAGCACGTGCATTTCTAAATCACTGAGAAATGGGAAATTTTAAGGAGCAAAGTTTATGTTTTGCATGAAAGCAAATAATATATATCTTTCTTAAACTATGAAATTTATATGTCTTCATACAAAAGCACACAGTGTTGATCTATAAAATGGCATCCAAGTGGATGGTGATTGTTCTGCCTGTCCCCCTGCTTAGACTTTTTAAATGTACAGTCAGGAATTCACATCCTTCTTTAAAAATACAAAAGATAAAAGAAAAACCATAACATAAATTGACTTATTAACTGGTGAAGCCTTTTATCTGATCAGAGGCAGTGACAGTGACAACAGGGCCATCTAGTCCTCCAGTGGTGACTATACTGTTGCTCTGAACACAAGTCTTGTGCACTGACACTTAATCCACCATTTTAGTGTCAGTTTCCAGCTTAAAATAACTATTCTTTTCAATCGGTTGCCTGTGGTTTAAATATTCAACAATTTTCAAGTATTCCATTATCATTTCCTTACTTTTTTTTCCTGCTTACTAAATGATGACCAAATAACACAGAATGAAGTTAAAACATTCCATTCTTCATGGTGATTTTTCAAAGAAAAACCAAAATGAATTATATTTGAGGTGCAATTTTTGTAATTTATGTAAGAGAAATTGAATCTGAAAAAGCAGTACAACTATAAACAGGTGATTTTATAAAAATGTCCTAGAGAATTTATTAGAGTTGGAAAGAGAATTGTTCATTTTTACAATGTGATGGAATTCACTAAAATGTACCTAGTTTCATGTCCATCAGTACATGTATAGGGTACACCTGTGATCCTGATAGAGGAAATCAAAAGAAGCTCACAAATTAAAAGTCCATTTGAAGAATTTTTGACCATGAGTATTTAGACCAATGCATAATATGAAACTATAAATTCATGTGCTCCTAACAGAAATCAAATGTATAAACTCCTCACGTGAACTAGTGGCTGTTTAAATGTTTTTTTCCTATATAATATATATATATGTATATATTTTTATATATATTAATGAAGCCACAGCAAAATACTATTATAATTTCAAAGCATGGCCTGTAAACGAATACACTTATGATATAAAAATATTGCACAGTTCGGTACTCCAAGAGCAAGCTCTAAGCCTCTCAAGTAGAATGGTAAACTTTTAGCAAAAAACACCAGTACTACAAGAACCAGATAGTTTAGTATGGCGATTCTTAGGGTCATGTTCTAGGAAACTATTCCACAAGATGTCATTACTGTAAAACATTAAGGAATAGCTACCCAGTATTATCACAGTAAGTGACTAGAGGGATGCTTGTCACAACTTACCTAAGTTAGCATGGGAACAGAAAGCCCAGGACAGTTTGCAGCCCCAGGATTAGGAATATAATGAATGTATTTGCTTTTGAAGATAACCAAAATCAAAAGCAATTCTATTTCTAAACGTTCTGTTGACATTTAAGAAATACAGTAGACACTTACACATTTTCAATCCTCTGGAGGCTTACTTTTTACAAAAAGTTAACATTTCTGAAATGAATAAAATACACCGTTTAACAATGGAAATGTGAGACCAATACATATTCAACTTTAAATGTCAAAAGGAGAACCTCAAAAGAAATTACATGGTATAAGTCTAACTTCAAAATACTCTAAATCATATATAGTTCCAAAACTTCTTATATGATACGCTAAGCATTTGGTTAAAGATAAGTTCCATCATTTTCAACAAGTATGTTATATGCATTAAGTAAACCTGAAAACGCAACTTGGCCTTAATTTTAAGCTTTAAAATCCTATGCTGAGGTCTTCCTGGGCCACTCAGTACACACACAGATCTGGAAACTTCATCTCATACACTGGGACAGACTGGTATTGGGCATGCCCAGAAGTAATGGTCAGTGTTCCTGATGGACTGGGAGGAGGACTGCAAAAGAAGAACAGGGCATTATCCACAGGTGCATTGACCAGCATTCATTCACACAGCATTCTATGACTATTACACACAGCACCGTCAACCGTAAGTGCAGAAATCATGTGATGAAGTTTCTAACCTTCTGTGAAGCTAAACAGCAAATAAGCCATGACACAATCAAGTTGTTTAAGTCTCATGTACAATTTTTATGATGGAATTGTAATCTACTAATTATTGTGAACTTTTCTGTTTCATAGTAAAAGATCTTCATGTAGGCATATATGTCTTTGCTGAACACCATATGGTATTTCATTAATAGCTACACATCACTGAGTTAAAGATTTATTATTTATTCATCTCAAAGCAGAACATGAGAGAGAGAAGGGACACACACACACACACACTCACACACCAGAGAGAGAGGGAGAGACAGCGAGCAAGTGTGAGATTTTCCACCTACTGGTTCACTGCCTAGAAAGCTGCAAAGCCAGGGCTGAGTCAGGTGAAGCCCAGGAGCCTGGAACTCCATCCTGGTCTCCCAAACGGGTGACAAGGGCCCAAGCACTTGGGCCATCATCCACTGCCTTCTTACGCTCATTAGCAAGAAGGTGGACTGGAAGTGAACCAGCACTCTGATATGGGCTGCAGGCATTGTAAGCCATGGCACAGGCCAGACACCACTGTTGTTTCAAACTATGGACAAATGCAGGTTCATTCATTATTATAAACAATGTTCACAAGCATATCTTTTTTATTTATTTATTTATTATTACAGGCAGAGTGGACAATGAGAGAGAGAGAGACAGAGAAAAAGGTCTTCCTTTTGTTGGTTCACCCTCCAATGGCCGCTACGGCCAGTGCACCGTGCTGATCCGGAGCCAGGAGCCGTGCTTCTCTGGTCTCCCATGCGGATGCAGGGCCCAGGACTTGGGCCATCCTCCACTGCACTCCCTGGCCACAGCAGAGAGCTGGCCTGGAAGAGGGGCACCGGGATAGAATCCGGAACCCCAACCAGGACTAGAACCTGGGGTGCCAGTGCCGCAAGCGGAGGATTAGCCTAGTGAGCCGCAGCGCTGGCCTCAGAAGTATATTCTTTTAAAAATTTTTTTCCACTTTCTTTGAAAGAAAGAAAGAGATGGATATAGACAGAAACAGACAGAAATATTCAATCTTTGGTTTGTTTATTCTCCCAATGCCCACACAGCCAGGGTTGGACCAGGCTGAATGAAGCCATAAGCCCAGAACTCAATCCTACACAGGTACTTGGGGTTTCCCATGTGGGTGGCAGGGACCCAAGCACTTGAGCCATCAAGCCACTGCCTCCTGGGTGTACATCTGCAGGAGGCTGCAGGAAGAGCGGGAGCCAGGACTGAGCCAGGCACTCTGATATGTGATGGGCTTCCCAACTGGCATCTTAGTAACTGTATAAAATGCCCACCCTACAATACCTTCCTAAGCATGTCTAATTTTATTCTTTCTCTTTGGTTTATAATCATTAAGCAGAATTTCTGGTTTAAAGTATATTCACAATTTGACATTGGGACATTTTGCTAGAACACCAGTAATTTACACTTTCAGCATTTGAGTATAATTTTTCTCTTACAGTTTAATATCGGACACAATCTAAAAAAAAAGAAACACTGCCAACCTGGCAGCCTAAAGAGAAACCATTCTTTGAAGCTGTACAATGTCTATGTGTCCACTGCCAGTGGACATTACTCATAGGCTTTTTTTTTAATCAATTTGGAAAAGTAATCTTTTGTCATATGACACAAATGCTTTCTACAATTATTTAATTCTTAACATGTTGACAAATGACTAAAAACTTCATATGGCAGCAATTATCCTCTTATGCTTTCTAGTTTTTGAGTTACAGTAAGAAAAATCCACCCCCTCAACCAAGATTACAAAGGTATTTGTATAAATTGTAGTATTTCTTTTATTTTCAAAGACTGGTCCATGCCACTTTTGGTCCAGTAACTGTTTTGTTGTTTGTTTGTTTGCTTGTTTTTTGACAGGCAGAGTTAGAGAGAGAGAGAGAGAGAGAGACAGAGAGAAAGATTTTCCTTCCATTGGTTCACCCCCAAAATGGCCGCTACAGCCAGCGCACTGCGCTGATCCGAAGCCAGGAGCCAGGTGCTTCCTCCTGGTCTCCATGCGTTTGCAGGGCCCAAGCACTTGGGCCATCCTCTACTACCTTCCCGGGCCACAGCAGAGAGCTGAACTGGAAGAGGAACAACTGGGATAGAACCGGTGCCCCAACGGTACTAGAACCCGGAGTGCCGGCACCGCAGGCAGAGGATTAGCCTAGTGAGCCGCGGCACCAGCCTAAACTGTGTATTTCTATGTATTTTTCCAGAGTTAATTTGTCTATCTTAGTAAAAGAAATGAAATGGAATCGCCTCCCACAGCCTTTCTTCCCTGCTGGTCAGTAGTCTCCAAGAGGTGTCTAAAGAAGATTGAACTGAACATTTGCTCTTCTAGAAAATCTGAAATCTTTATCACAATACTTTTTCATTCTGAATTTCTTCTATCTGTATGTATACAAGTCCAACCTGCTACAAGTACGAAAGATCAATCATGTTTTCCTATCAACCAAAGCAAATGCTCCCTTCTTTTCTCCTACAGCGTTTCCTAACTGATCTTGTTTGTGGACTCATTTGCATTGCCCTTAGCATCATTTTTTTCTGATTGACACTGGATAAATTACCTAATTCCTATGTGCATGTTTAACACTTGTAAAATTAAAAAAAAATCCTATTCTATTTGTAGATCTATTGTAGATATTAAATTAAATAGTTGGGGTCGGCACTGTGCCACAGCCTGCATGCCGGCATCCCATATGGGCACCGATTCGAGTCCTGGCTGCTCCACTTCCGATCCAGCTCTCTCCTGTGGCCTAGGAAAGCAGTGGAGATGGCTCAAGTCCTTGGGCCCCTGCACTTGTGTGGGAGACCCAGGGGAAGCTCCTGGTTCCTGGTTGGATTGGTGTGGTGTAGCTCCAGCCGTTATGGCCAATTGGGGAGTGAACCAGTGGATGGAAGACTTCTCTCTTGCCTCTCTGTAACTCTGCCTTTCAAATAAATAAATAAATCTTTAAAAAAATTAAATAGTGCAGGTTCAGTGCCTGGAATATCATAAATACTCAATAACTTAACATTTGGTAGCCTATGTTCAATAAATGTTAAGTACTGGTAATAGCTAATATTAATTTTGTTAGTATGACTGAATGTAACACGGTGACCCCAAGTGACATAGCCTTTAGGGACATGGTTAAGGATTTGAATTTTGACTCTGCACTCACCAGCTGTACGACCTACTACAAACTACCTACCTTCTCTAAGTCTTGCTATCTTCACTTAGAAAATAAAACATACATCTACCTACCTTTCAGGGCTGTGGTGAGGATTAGCAGAAATCAAGTATAAAATGCATGACATAAGACCAAATAAACAACAGACACTTGGTAACCACTAACAGACATTAAAGAAGTAACTGCTCATGCCCAGCAATTTTCTCTGAATCCTGAGTTATCATATAGTGCATTTTTTAGCCCAATTCCCTGTTCTGAAATTCTGTAAACGAGCAATCCTCTACTCAGTGGGGATCATGTGAATGCTAGGAAGGTGCCTAGAATAAGACATGAAACTGATGAAATATACCTTGCATATGAAAAGAAAAAAGGCTGAAATAAAAGCAGATTATTGTCTCTTCCATTTACAAGTTACAGGGGTTGAAGCAAACCATATTTAATTAATAACTCTAAAAATATGAAGGACCTGATGTAGAAAAACGTTACAGAAGCATAGCTACCTGAGGCTCCTCTACCAAGCTACTGCACACAAAGCCTGGTTTCCTCACTGATGTCAATGTTCTTTCTTTGCATAGAACCTAGAGTTCTCTCTCTCTTTCCTTCGTTACTTAGTTAACAAACAGATTCTAACCCAAGTGCTTTCAAATACCACATGTTTTGGAGTATAGTAACTCATAACAGGACTCAACTGGGTATGCCATAGGCAAGATCAAGGGAAGTTCAACAATTCCACCCTGGAAGGAACTATGAGCTAAACCATATGAACTGTATACCTTTCTATCATGAAGGAATGAACGATCTAAAAAGGAACTAGAAGATTAAAGAAAACTTAGCAAGAAATGGTGACAGATCCCATCTAGTAAACAGAATGACTGCTAAGACAAGGGGTCACCTGTCTGATCCTGTATTCAGCCAAATGGGAAAAAAAAATGCTTAAACACAATCAGCTGCAAATTCATAGGAGTTTAACAGTTTTTATTTTGCTGTTGTGTTAGTACTGATGCAGTAACAAAATGCTTACCGTATGGTGAGCTCCAATATTTGAGCAAGTCTATCATGAAGCAAATTTGCCTGTGATGGGGGGAAAAATGAAGATAACATTTGTCATTTTCCAAATATCCACAGGAATATAACTAATATAATTAAAGGACAAAGCCTAACCAGTAACCAGTAATTCTGATGGTTCAGAATGCTTTAATGTTTTGACTTGGTTTCACCTATTGGAATTTAATGTAAGGTTTCTCTTCTTTTTGTTTATTTTCATTATATTTGAATGGCACAGAAATACCACTGCAAGAAAGAGAGATGGACACAGGGACACACACACACACACACACACACAACTTCCATCTGCTAGTTCACTCTCAAAATGTGTGCAACAGCTGAAGCTGGAGTTGAACAGGCAGAAGCCAGGAGCCTGAACTAAATCCAGGTCTCCCAGTGGTAAGGACCCAAGTACTTCAGCTGTCATCTACTACTTCCCAGGGTGTGCATTACCTGTAGCCCTGACTTAAACCAGGCATTCTAATACGGAATGCAGATGTCCCTACTGTCTTTAACAACTGTGCCAAATACTCGCCTCACCTTGTCCTTTCTTAAGCTCACTGCTAACAAATAAACACACAGAACAAACCAGTCAGAGCAAAATCAGTGAACGCCACTGTAAAGTATTCATAAATATTCAGTTTGGGACCTGCCATTTTTATCAGCTTATACCATACAAATCATTTGGGGCTTCACAGTTATGTTTTCAGAGTTTTGGTGTCTGATATATTTTTCTTTGTGTTCTGAAAAGTTTCTTGAAGTTTGGAATTTACCAACCAAGAGTTTCTGTAAAATCACTCCAGCCTCACTTGTCATCTGTTTACTTACTTTGGATTCACACTGTGCTGCTATTTCTTCAAAAGGTGCTTTCTGGAATTTCTCTATGACAAGACGTCTCTTTTCCTTTTCTTGTTCTTCCATTCCACTGGTATCTACTAAATGTGAAGATCCATCAAAACAAATACAGTGTCCCAAAACCCTTACAAAGACCCTAAGAGCTATGATCTATAAAAAGGGCAATTTATGGGGCTACTTTTTATAACAAAAAATGCAAAAGGCATAACAACCTTGAAATGTCTCATTTGAGGCTAGAATAGAAAAATTTTAAATCTGAGGGTTTAAAAACAGATGTACAATAGTATCTCCTAGAGTGCCTTTGTCTCTCTTTAAAAAAGTGGAGGGGAATAGAAACTTCCTGCAAGACAGAAAACTTCAACATTCTTCCCGAAGGACCATTCTGGGCTTTTTGTTTGTTTGTTTCATAATTATGCCTTTGCATATATGAGGCACTAAATAAAATATCTGCCAAATTGAATATTGATACTGAATGGACAACTGAAATACAGATGGGGTCATTGGAAGTTATATTTTATTTATCATAATCTGAAATGGGATTTTTAATATTAAAATAATATATAGTCTGGCCAGAGTCTGTGAGACAATAAAATAATGTCTTTCTACTACCACTGATGAAACAGCTGTGTGTGTCTGCTTAAGAATGAAAAGAATGGTAAGACAATTTTAACAGCCAGAAAATAGGGCTAAAAATGATATTTATATAGAAACTAATTAATTTCTTTTTTGGTCATACTGCTTCTATTTGTTGTGGCATATAAAACAGTACCAAGCTAAAGAGGGGTCAAACATTAGAGGAGCTCATAAGTGCACAGTATCTTACCAATTGCTTTCTTCAGTGCTTCAAAGGTTATTTCTTCAGTGTTATTAGCCTAGAGGAAAGTGGTTTTAAGTAAAATAGAGAGTTAAAGAATGTTAATTCAGAGAATACCTCTGCCTAGTTACAAGTCATCTAAGAAACTCTTAGAATATTTTTCTTTGTGTTGGCTTGGTTTGTGATTATACTCCACAGTGTCCAATACTTTCTACATTTTCATTGCTCTAACAATGGTCTACTGCAGTGTAAATTTCCCCAAACAATCCTACAGATTAGAACTAGACTGGCAGAATCAGCAATCCCTAGGCAACTGAATTCAGTCTCCAGGAATGTGATGTTCAATAACAGACCTGGGCTTCATAAGTAAACAACACATTGAGGTAGTCAAAGCTGAGCTGATACATTTTTAGCCTTGTGGTAAGTAAGAACTAAGCACTCCACAATCTGTAATTTTGGGAAACCATGGATGTTTAAAATCAAAAATAAAATAATCTTGGATTTTTAAATGATTTAAAATAATAGTCACTACATTGGGAAGCATCCAATGAGAACGGTTAATCAGCATCTTAAAATAGGCATATTTTAGGTCTTCTAAGCTGAATCACCAAATTTTATTCCACATAAAAACCCTTTCACTTGGACTCTTAGATCAGTCTCTTACTTTGAGATATAAAAGGTATGACATCAACTTCTTCATGATAAAAAAAATAATTAATACTTTGTGACAACAGCACATTTTCAGAAGGAATAATATATGAGTTACTGTGGTATCACTGAATGAAAAATTAAGAAATGATACATGGGCCAGTGCCATGGCTCACTAGGCTAATCCTCCGCCTGCGGCGCCAGCACCCCGGGGTTCTGTCCCGGTTGCTTCTCTTCCAGTCCAGCTCTCTGCTGTGGCCCGGGAAGGTAGTGCAGGATGGCCCAAGTGCTTGGACCCTGCAAACGCATGGGAGACCAGGAGGAAGCACCTGACTCCTGGCTTCGGATCGACACAGCACCGACCATAGTGGCCATCTGGGGGGTGAACCAACGGAAGGAAGACCTTTCTCTCTGTCAATCTCTCTAACTCTGCCTGTCAAAAAAAAAAAAAAAAAAAAAAGATACATGACTACTTGCCTGGAACTCTGGTCATCCCTAATTTTAGCTCATGGGCTTCTTTTGCTAAGTCTAAGACAGCAAGACTAATGAAAACAAAAAGACTTCATGCTTTGCTCCTTAGCTTCTTTCGAATACAAAGCCTTTAGCAGGAAATCAAGCAGCAAGAGTTCTACCTCAGTTTTTCTACTGAATGTTCACATTTCTAGCTGCAGTCAGACTAAACTTGGGAATCTTCAGTTGCTTTGTTCTAGATGTTCGGAGCAGACATACAAGATTAGGCTCTGGGTAGTTAACTGTACCTAGCAGCAATCTAGTACTTTAATGAAAAAACCCACTATTCCTTCTATACTTGGCTAAAAGCTTTAGAGTTTTCACAAACAACTATAGTACAGGAGAAATAACATGGGCGAAGTTAGAAGATCGGTATTCTTGATACCTAAGATTTTTACTTATTACCTGTTCAGTGCAGGAAAAATGAAGAGCTAAAGTACCTCAGCGTATGAACTCTTTCCCCTGATTTCTTCTAGTCTTCCTTGATCCACCTAATGACGATAAAATTCCTAGCAACAAGAACCTCCAAGTCATTCTGTCCATCAGTGTTTTCTTTACCTCCTCTAAGTCCCTGGGAGTTATGTGTTGGCCCCAGTCCTGCTCTCCTGTCCCTGCTCATCTCCAGCCCAGTTACGCTATGGTAGGTCCTTGTTCCCTTAAGTGTGGACAGTTACCATGTCCTGCCTCTAGTTTCTTCTTTTTAATTTAGCCTAGTCACATTTCTAAGATTTGTTTCTTGAAAGTATAGTTCCAAGAACTGTCCTGCCTGAATTTCAGGGCCTCCTTACTTCCTACCCAATTACAAACTGAGCCTTCAGACCAGTGATAAATCCTTCTAAATTTGGCTGGAATCTATCTCCCAATCCTCCCTTTCGTGCATCCTAGTTGAAAATCAAAACAAAACAATAAAAAAAACCAACTGATTTATACCGGCATTAGATGACTTGTATTTTCACACAGTATAGCTGCTAATACAAGCTACCTAACTTTATTTGATGCTCAACTACATTGCAATCTGTCCTAACTGTAAAGGAGAAATGGGGTGCAAAGGCAACATCCTAAAAGAGTTTGAACTTTCCTTTTACTTTTTCCAATTTTTGTTTACATATGACCTATGGCTCTAACCTAGAGTGTATAATACTATTGGGCCTACATGAAATCTATTCTTCATTTTCTTCCAAGTACAGCAATTATGTCACTTCTACTGACACCTTAGTAATTTGATAGCAATTAGTATAGCAGGTTGTAGCTAATACTGACTTAATGCCAGCACATATACAGATTTCTCTAACTATATTTGGGAAAAATGCAGAAGTACATATGTATAAAACACAAGGTCTGTTAATTGTTCTAGAATAAAGAACAATCCTGTGTAGTCAACCCATGACTTCATTTTGTACAAAGAGAAATTTAATATGCAAAAATTTTCTATATACATATGTTTGTGTGTGTTTATATATATATATATATATAAAAATATATCCCATATGTGCCCCCAAGTAATCAAGCACTTACTATCTATCACCTTTGAGAGAAAAGAATCAAATAGTGATTTCAGGTTTCACTCATATCCATTCTTACACATAAGAGGTCAAAGAATCCTACCTATAGTGCTTTCTAATGGTTAGGCAGATGTTCTCATCTCAGGAGGCAGAGGCACTTTGTTTATGACATACATCCTCCTGAATACCTTGATTTAATTTCGGTATCTTTGTATGTGTGTGTATTGAGGTATACGTATATGCTCATATACATAAATTTACATACATATATACACACATCTTTTTATATATGGCAATTTTTAGAGAAAATCTTATTAAGTGAACTAAGGTTTGAACTGTAAATATTAGAACAAACATATCTCAAGTGGTGCCAGGCACTTCCGTAAACTATAGTAACAACTGGCATTATATCTAAGGAAAATAGAAGTTTGCTATGATCCCCATCTAAACAATCTTTTTTTTTTTTTTTTTTTTAAGAATAAGCTCTAGGACCAGATATAACTGAAAATACACTAGGATTATGTATAAAAATTTCAAGTATTTTTAATTAAATGAATTATGTTTACTGAGCAATTTTCACATCTGATTTCACTGGAAGTAAATAAACTTACCTATAGTTTGCTATGCTATTTTATTGCACCATTAACTAGTGAATATGTGATAGGAATTTCTTCTAGGCATGCTATGAAATCAATTAATTCACTTTAGCCTAGAGGTAAGGTTCTTATTCTGCCTTCTGGTATATATCAACAATTGTGTCTAATATACAAAAGCAGATTCCACAATGGCAAACAAAGTCAAAGCTCAAGTGCTTTCAAGTCAATGTGATACTAAACTGTACTTCAGTTTTCAGCTGCTCAGAGCCACATTTGACTTGGGACTTAGGGCAAATCAAAGAAACAATAAGATCTTTAAAAAGTTACTGAATTATTAAAGCATATTGAATGTAAAATGTGTCAAGAAACTTCTCCTTACATTGTCTTTATGTACATTTTTGTATTTAATCAAAATAGACACATTCTTTGCAACAGTTTCAAGTGTTCTCTATGTATTTTTTGAGAGAAATAAAAATAGTTAACAAAAGAATAATTGAAAAATAACAGTCAATAAGGATATATTGCATATTTGTCAACATTAAGTCAATCAGATAAAGATTTGGAAGCATTTCTTCCCTCATGGGTAACATCAGAAAGCTCACAGTGAAAAAAAGGTAGATATTTTCCTTAGATAGTCGTTTATAAACTAAAATGGCTTTGAAAGCAGAGGTGAATTTGGAGAAGACAATTTTTCTTAGCCTAAAATTGGTTAGAAACTTTAAATCAGACTTAATATCAAGTTTCAGAATGAATTCTCACTGCTTCTTCAAGTACTCCTGCTGCTCTACTGATAACTTCTTAATAAACACAAAAATCCTGTAGGATTAACAGGGAGTTGTGTGAACACAGAAGGTGTAAGTACCCTGGTCACCAAAGAGTCTTAATTATCGAAGACAAATTAACTGACAAGAGTTGGAAGACGGTGAAGAGAAAGGAGGCTGAGAAAGCATGAATTCAGACAACTTCCTTCCCCTTTTCTTGTATGGATATTCTTTTAATTATTTACATTGTACCAATGAGAAATAATAAAATACCTAGGAAGGCAAACAATGGATAAATCACAAGGAGGAGACTGACTTGACATGCTGGCACTTCGGCATTTTTACTTGACTATCAAAAAGTTCTCTGGTGGTTTGTGAGGAGTAAGTCCTAGAGAACACTGGCTGCGTTTCTTCCTATAACTCAGGAGGGTACACTCTGGTGCTCTATTGAAACAGGAGGAGAGCATTCAGTCTATGAGGTTTCAAACAAGCCACAGTCCTCAAAAAGTACACAGTTCATTGATAACAGCTTAATGTAAGCTATACAATTCATTGTTTTCTACCCAAAATGATTAAAAAATTTCCTATAGATGTGCAGTTTTGAAATTTCCTAAAGTCACTGACCATTTGACCTCACATGAGTGTGTATAATTCTATTTATTCCTGTAACTTATGTTTCATAAATTTTAAAAAAATAAACAGGATACAGAGGGCCTATGAATTGAATAACATTGTGTAATACTTTTGCTAACACACTCAAAAATCTTACCTCTGTTTTAGTTTCTTTTATTATGCTGAGTTACAATGTGAAATTTCAATATAATAACATCCAAGGGTAAGTTAATGTATCTTTATAGACAGCTGAAATGAGTTCAGTAAAATAAATTATAAACAAATCCAAGGCTAACTTTAATTTCTACTAAGAATTTACTTGATTTGGGAATAATCTAGAGTTGTATTTTCTTCAGTTTTACAGAATGAAGAGCACACAATTCTTTTCTATAGTGACTATCTCAAGAAAGTATTCCAATGTAAATATTCCATGACTTACCACGTCATCAGGAGGAATGCTGTTCGGTAAAATATCCACCTGAATGGATACAGTGTCTACAATGCTTTTTCTTCTGGAAAGCCGATCTTCATCTAAAATAAAAATAGTTTTTCTCTCATTATTTGTTGGAAACATTACATTGATTTTTAGTTATAAACTCTACCTCTGGCTTTGAAAAGTTTACAAAAAATAAGAGTATGTCCTTTTTTCTCTTTCTAAATATATAAAGTAGTGTGTTCTCAGATTTATTTTCTTTATATTTATTTATTTTATTTATTTGAAAGTCAAAGATACAGAGAGGGAGGAAGAGACAGAGAGATGGATCCTTCACCCGCTGGTTCACTCAAACGGCCACATGGCAGACCAAGGAGCCCAAGGACTTAGGCCAATTTCCACTGAATTCCCAGGTGCATTAGTAGGGAACTGGATTGGAAGCAGAGCAACTGGGACTCGAAATGGTGCCCATATGGATGCAGGTGCTGCAGGCGGCAGTTTTACACACTATGATGCTGGTACCAAGTTTTATTTTATTTTTAATTGAAAAGTAACTGCATACACTTAGTGTATTTCAAAAAGTTCATAGCAAATGATTCATATTTTGGTTTACAAATTTTCAAAATCCATGCATATCAATGGGGTACAATGCACTATGTCATTGATGAATGATGAAATAAGGCTGATTTGCACATCTATGACCTCAAGTATTTATCATTACTTTCTGGTAAGAACATTTAAAATTCTCCTTCAGCGAATGGGCTGTCAAAGAAGGAGGCACCTTTTTCTGAAGGGAGGAGAGAACTTCTACTTTGATTATGGCCTTGTCTAAGTAAGGTCAGAGTTTGTGAACTCAAGAGGCTTCCATAGCCTAGGCAGCTCATGACAAGAGCCTCGGGTGATTACTGACATCATAAATAAAGAGTGTTAATTGTTAAATCAACAACAGGAGTCATTGTGTACCTACTCCCCATGCAGGATCTCTGCCCTTAATGTGTTGTACTATGCGAATTAACCATAAAACTGGTATTCAAACAGTACTTTAAATTCTGTGTCTGTGTGGGTGCAAACAGTTGAAATCTTTACTTAGTATACACTAAGTTGATCTTCTGTATATAAAGATAATTAAAAATGAATCTTAATGAAGAATGGGATGGGAGAGGGAGTAGGAGATGGGATGGTTTGCGGGTAGGAGGGTGGTTAAGGGGGGAAAAACAGCTATAATCCAAAAGTTGTACTTTGGAAATTTGTATTATTAAACAAAAGTTTAAAAATTCTCCTTTAGCAATGCAGAACTATGTATATTGTTAATATGGTTACCATGCTGTGTAAGTAAACATCAGAACTTATTGCTCCTATGTAAGCTTTAAAATACACATGTAAGTAAAATCATCCTCTGGCTAGTTTATCTTACTTAACATAATGTCCTACAAGTTCATCCATGCTGTTGCAAAAGACAGAACTAGCTGCTTTTCATTTTTAAGGCTGAATAGTATTCTACTGTATGTATTTATGTGTATATATACACCACATTTTAAAAATCTACTCATCCTCTGGTGAACATTCAGGTGCTTTGGTATACACTACGAGACGTGAGATCAATGGAAGTGCTATAAACAGTACAGAGCTATCTCTGCTCACCTGCTTTTAGCTCTAACCAGGTTATCTTTTTTTATTTGAAAGGCAGAATGACAGAGAGAGAGAGGGAGAGAAAGACAAAGACAGATATCTTCCATCCACTGGTTTTCTCTGCCAATGCCTGGGACAGTCAAGGCTGGACCATGCTAAGGCTAGGACCCTGGAACTCCATCTGGCCTCCTATGCAAACGGCAGGGATGCAATTAATTGAGCCATCATCTGCTGCCTCCCAGGTATATTAGCAGAAACCGGAGGCAGGACTTGATCCCAGGCACTCTGACATTGAAAGAGATGGAAACGTGAGGCGTTAACTAGGCTAATGGGCAGCTGGGCCAGTTGGAAGGCAATCAGGTCAGTTAACTGCACTTACCAAAGCTAGACAGGATAGTAAGCCCTTCCTTCTGATTAGCTGTTTTTCTACTCCTGCCCTGATTGGTTAAATCTAGTTTTGATTTTCAGAAAGGGGACAATCAGAGAGAGCCATATCTTGTTTATAAAGGGCAGACACTGGCAAGCTTCCTTGGCAACTCCTCCCTTGGAGCTCACCTCCTGAGAGCTGTGGTAAGAGGTTTCTCACTTTCAATGAAACTTGCTTTATTCACTGCCCCTGTCCACATGGAAGTTCTTCTTTGACGTGAGACAAGAACCGAGATCGCCCTTGTCCTCTTCATCATCCTCCCAGACAATATGGGGCAAGGGGATCCCATTTGCAGCTTACCTTATTGCAGCACAACATCTACACCAACGTCAACTTTTAAGGTCTCCCCAGAACTAAAAGTGAGGAAAAAATAAAGCCTGCTTCTCATAGAATACGCTATGAAATAAATTTCATGTTCATTCACACAGGCCTATGGTTGCAAAAGAGTCAAATTGAAGATGAACACAGGTAAGAAAAGAGAAGGGGGCAGAAGAGAGATCATGGAATGGCAATCAATGGACAGAGAGAAAGCACAGTGGCCTGATATTTAAGAAAAATGGTCAGAAATTCTAAAAGGAAAGAAAATGATATTCAATGGGAAATTCTTAAAACTACATTCTCATAACCTTTTCTCTTCTCATCTACATATTCATCTGCTTATGGTGGCTGCAGAGTAGCCCACAGTTACAGCCAAACATCTTGCAAAGCTCTAAAGTAGAGCTCAAGGAGGACAGCACCCCTGTGTGTCATGTACGTTCTTGCTCTGCTTTTCCTCTGTGGGCTGCACTGTGCTGAGTCTCCGACAAATGTCAGGTCAGCATCTCCTAGGTCTCACATGCATCCTCTGGAGAGGCTCTTGTTTTCTTCCCCAGATTGAGTCACCTCACTCTCCATTTTCTCATTCCTTTCTGCTATTCACAAAGGTAACAATCCCTTCTTTTTTCTGTTCTTATCTGGGCACAAGGATCTACAGTTTAGAAGCAATACTTCTAAATGAAGGCCAGCATTAGAGCTCTGCCTAGCTTCCCTCTGATACTTTGCTGCTACCTGCTGTATCCATGCCTAATTTATATAACTGCACCCAGATGGCTAAAGAATAAAGAAAATAGTCTGAATGCAAGTCTGGTACAGGACTACATTAACTGAATTCTAACATAATTTGACATGGCTAAAGAAAAAAAGATACAGGAACTGACTTAATTACATACAATCAATCCTGAATGTATCCAGCGTTACTAGACCACCTAGATTCAGATCAAAAGCTAACTGGAGTGAGTGAAACTTTCAGGTACTTCCTTTAGACACAAAATTCAAAATGTAGTCTAATGCAAATATACTACTTATAAAGATATACTGCATTGGTTCTATGTAAAAACATGAAATTACATCTCAAACTAATGTTCTACAGAATAAAAACAAATCAAAGCTCTTTTCAATAGGGAATACAAAATCATGTGAAAAACAACCCATTGTTTTTAAGCAAACTTTAAATAGAAATTCAATCCCCTCCAGAAAGGAGATGGGACCGACATGTGAAACCAGGTTTACAAGTTGATTCACATGTAACCCCTGCACACTGCCATGGAGGACAGGGTGGTGATCCAATCAGACCCCATCAGGCCATGGAGCACCCTTCCCCGTCCCCCACCCTTCTTCCATGTTTGTGGCCCTGGAGCTCTTCTCCAGGAGGGGTTGGTTAAAAAACAACCTTTTTAAGGGCACATTCTTTTTTAGATTTTTAAATTATTTTTATTTATTTGAGAGGTAGTTACAGACAGTGAGAGGGAGATACAGACAGAAAAGTTTTCCTTCTGTTGGTTCACCCCCCAGATGGCCGCTACAGCCAGTGCACTGTGCCAATCTGAAGCCAGGAGCTTCCTCCCATGTGGGTGTGGGGTCCCAAGCACTAGGGCCATCTTCTAATGCTTTCCCAGGCCACAGCAGAGAGCAGGATTGAAGAGGAGCAGCCGGGACACCAACCAGTGCCCACGTGGGATGCCAGTGCCCCAGGCGGAGGATTAACCTACTGTGTACCATGGCGCCAGCCCCAATAACAGACATTTTGACAAAGCAAATTAAGATAGCCATGTATTATAAGTGCTTTTAATCAACAGGACAAATCAAAACTATTTGAAAGTCAACTAGAACATTAAGACCTGAAATAAATACTAAAATCATTCCTATATTTATAGAAAATTATTTAGTTTTTAAAGCACTTTCATGTAGCTGGCATGTAGCATAGTGGGTGAAGCCACCACCTGCAATGTCAGCCAAAAACACATGGGTGCCAGTTCATGTCCTGCCCACTCCACGTCCATTCCAGGTTCCTGCTAATGGCCTGGGAAAGCCAGTGGAAGATGGCCCAAATATCTGGACTCCTGCCACCCATGTGGGAGACCCCGAAGAACCTCCTGGCTCCTGGTTTCAGCTTGGCCCAGTGCTGGCAGTTGCAGATGTCTGGGGAGTGATCCAGTAGTTGGACTATCGCTCCGCCCCCTCTCCCCTCCATTCTCTGTAACTCTTTCAAATAAATAAATGTTAAAAATAAATAAGTAAAGTACTTTCAAGCGCATATTTTATGAGCTAAAACACTGAGTGTTTTTTGGTCCTTGCTTTCTCTCTGAGAACAAGAGGTCACCAACATATTAATGGGCATGCCCAATGTCAAATGGTTATAACAGAGCCAAAATTAATATAATGGACTTTTGACTCAAAGCCAACTTAGACTCAGCTTATGTTTTCTGGTTCAGACAAAATCAGTTACCATCAGTTCTTTCAAACTATATTGCTTCACCTACTACAGCTGGCTATCCATGGCAGCAAATGGCTCTTTGGAGGAAGATAAGACAAATGATTGTATTTTTATTTATAAGTGATTTTTTTCCTATTCTTTGTACTATGTTATGAGTTGTGTGTTCAGTGTAAAAGGATACACATACACACATATCTGTGCATGTGCATTCTCTGTCTTTTCTTAGCAACTTTTTCGAAGACTGAGCCATACTAAAGTCTCCATTCATCCTCATGGACAACAACAGAAACTGAACAAATCCTAATGACAGTGTCTATATATGCTTCTATTTCTTTTCATTTTGCCATCAAAACTATTGTTGCAAAGGCTGTCAATAATCACCTTCTATGAAAACCCAAAGAAAGGCTGTCATCCAGTCTCAGACTCCCTGAGGTTAAGTTATTGAAGCTTTCCCCTCACCTCCCCAGGCGTCCTACACATCCACAATACAGCATAACAACTTTCTCCTGTTACTTTCTAATGGGGCACTTTGAGTCTTAGCCTTTTACCGGCTCCTTCCCCAGCATTCCTTCACTAAGGAAAGGGGAATTCTTTAGCCATTCTGTCCTTTTCCTCCTCTTGACATCTTCACTTTGAGAGGTTACCCTGCTCCCTGAAGGCTTTAGCAAAATGTCCTATGTTGTTGACATCAAACTTCACTGTAACTTCTCAATTCTCATACAAAACCCAGCCCTGACTCCTAAGTGCCTAGAGGACTTTACTTGAATGTCCTCTCCCAAACTAGTCATGACTTTCTATTCATGTTAACAAAAATTCCACTTTCTATCATCTTAGATTCAAAACTACCTTACAGACTGTTACAGCTGTACACACACTTCTTTCATTCCTCATACAAACCTGGTCACATTAACCAATCCTCCTGAAACCAAAAACCAAAACCAAATCCAAGTGGCAAGGGAACTCTGTTCTCAGTTCTGAACATCCACACAAGTGCCAAAGTTGGAAACCTAGACACGTCTCTGGTCTCTCCCTGTCCTCCAGTAAACTGTGTGTAGACTCTCCTGTAAATTTTTCCCTACCCACTTCCCTGTACTCTTCTCACTGACACCTTTTCAGTACAGGTTACTTTCACCTCTCCTAGAGACTACTGAAAAACTCTCTTAAATGGTCATTCCATACCCAGTTTGCTAAACTACAATCAATCTGATGATTGTATCTCTTAATTAAAACTATTCAATTCCTCCTCAATGATTTCAGAATGAAATTCAAACTATTTAACTTGGATTTGCAATTTCCAATCCCATTCCCTCAATTCACTCCAAACTGATTGCATTAATTCCCTGCATAAATTGATCACTCACACACGCTATCTCTGTTTAAACAGGGTTCACTTTCTAACATTTGTCTTAGATTCTACTTAGGGACTTTCTTCTTGATATCCCTGGCCCATCAAACCTGGATTGAATATTCTCCTGGATGCTGACTGAGGATCCTAAACTTCCCAGATTAAAGACTTCAGGCATATTAGAACTGCTCACTTATAAGCCTTGTTAGAGAGAAATTACACAGAAAATGAAATTCTTTCCTATAATCCAGAATATTAGTAAAGCACTATTTTAGGAGAATTGAGAAAAAGAGTCATTCAAATCATTTTCTGTGTGTTGTGGTTTGGATGAGACCCCAACTTAGAAATGCGCCTTAGAGAGTGGTGCTTAGCACATGTGAAGACATACACTATTCCCTCGAGTTCTAGGGTTACTGGAGATTTTTTTAAAAATGCAATAATCAAATAAATTGATGAGCACTTATTATATCAGTCACCAACAGTTCTGTTGGGTTTTAGGTAGATCATATTCTTTCTCTAAAATCAGTGCATTTCAATTATTCAATCACCTTCCCCACTAGATCTTAATCCTTGAGGGTAGAGACAGCATCCTTAATTTTTTCTACTCCCCACCAAAGTCATAAAAGTACATTTAGAAAAGGGGTATGCAATAAATGAAAACAAAATTCAATCTATATCATTCTGGGTCCCTGAAAAATCCTTGAGCTAATTTATTAAGTACCAACTGTACAGGAAAGAGTAATTCTACTGGTGTAATCTAATTGAATTATTTAATTTCAGCCTTATTTCCTCATTTGTAGGCTGAGATAATGCTATCTTCCTCACCAAACTTTTATACAGATGAAGTGAGAATTGCATACAAAGTGCTTATCACAGTACCTGCATATAATTAGTCAATACATGGTAGCTACCACTGCGATGATGGTATGATATGGTATTGATGTAGGCAGGCATCCACGTGAAAACTGATTAGGTTGTGAGCCGGAAGACCATGCCTTCACCACGCCCTGTGTGACTTCATGCCCCTACCTTGGCCACACCTGTGCACCCTCCCACCAATCAGCTTAATTAACCACTCCCTTTGAAAGAGGATTAAAAGTCTGCAACACAGTGTGCCTGCTCTCTCCTTTCCTTGGCTTCTTGCCAGTGCGGGGCTTGCTGCGGTCCTGCGCCTAGAGGCTCCTCCTGGCCTAGATGCTCCTCCACATGGCTGGTTCCTGGCACCCTGTATGAATCCAGATTTATCCCTCTCTTTTAGATAAAGCTCTCACTCTCCAATGCATCCTTCTCACTGAATAAAAGCTTAAAAAATGTAACATACTGCCTCGTTGATCTATGCCGGTATTTAGAATCCTTCTCTGAATATTAGGCAAGAACCCACAAGGGCTTACTAATATTGGGAATTTATTAATAAGCATATTGTGATATAGTATGGCACCCCATATTCTGATTTCATATGGTACCCCAGATGGTACTTTTGGGGAACCTTAAGAGGGCTATATTCCGATATCATATTTTAGGGGGCCAATCCCAATATCAGTATGATACACAATACATGGATATTTTGCTATTTCTTTTTATATATTGCTATTAAATAACTTAAATTTTTAAGATGAATATCTGATGGCCATACAGCAAAAGGAAATGTCTTAATTAATTGAGTATCCCATAGAAAATCACCATTTCTTCAGCCTCCTTTTTTCATTAAGGCAAGCCATAGACTGGTTATAAAGTATCAAAGTCCTTACAAATCAGAAAAATCGTAACTCATACATAGTGATTGCTTTGCACCCATACCATTAATTATAAACCGAAATATTCAGAATTCTTCCAGTCAATGACAGAAGGACATTACAAAGTAGAACAGATATTTTTCAGGGGTGGGAGGAACTAAGGAAGAGCAAACTATCTGTTTAAAAAAAAAAAAAAAAGTGCCAGAACTTTAATTTAGAATTAAGGGTAAAGTAACAGGGTAGAAGCACAAAGCAAAAGAATGAAAATAAACAACTGCTGTAAGGAAGGCAAAGCAAAATACAAACTAAACTTCTAGCTATGAAATACACAGGGGACTGGTTCCGCTTCTAAAGCACATTTTAGGCAGCTGTTTTCCTAGAGGACAGACGAGGGAAAGGGCAGGCCTAACTGGCATCTGGATTTACCTTTGCACTTGTGCCTGGGTTTATGAGGCTTTTTGCCTGAAGGAAAGAGAGCTAGATCCAAATTATAAGAATGAAATATTTAAGTCTTCTTGAAAATTGCTTTAAATAAAAAGTTCTATTAATACTTTTTGTTACGTTTTTATTTCCCAAGAAATTCTTGAAGAACATAATCTCTAATCGTATGACATTAAAAACAAATCGTGAACGCATTCCTGAACATCTTAAGACTATTTTGAAGAACCATCATTGTAACAGATGTGTATATATTTTGCATCTGCATAAAAAAGACAGCTATTTACAAAGATTTGACTATTTCAGCAATTAGTCCAGAAAGCTATCTAACTGAAACCAAATAGTTCTCATATATATCAGAGGTAACCTATAGGAAGAACTGTCTCTTCCAACAAATTTAATATTTATGTAATCAATGGAAAATCAGAGTATAAAATAGAAATTCTTTTTTTCATTTTTAAAATAAAAACTGAATCTAAAACACCATGCAGTTTTGCCTTCAAAGACCACAGATTCACTTCAGGCAATGCAGAGAATGGAAGGAAACACACAGTTCACAGCTGACAAGAATACTCCTAACTTAAATATAGTTACAGACTTCTTTACATAGCAAACAGACTGTACTCTTTCAAAGACAAAAGTGGCTAAATAATCACTAATTACTCATTAAACAATTTTCACCCATTTCTATAAGTTAAATACAATATCATTCATGGAGGAAAGACATCATGTTAAGATAATTTATTCAATGTAATCATAAAATAACAATAAAGACTCAAAACTTGATTTGCTAATGATAAAATCATATTTATATCTTTGGATTTGCTAAAGGATTTTAAGTGAAACTTAAAAAATAAACACTCTTAAACATTTGAAAGAGTAGGCTACTCTCTTTTCTTGCCAATTGGATAATGTAAAAACTACCAAACTATAACAATTACCAAGGTTGAGTTTGAATGATCTTCCTCTTACCTGTTACCTGTGGTACATATGGAACTGATAACCTCTCCACGCTATATCCACTTCCTCCCAGTGACTCTGCAATCTTGTTGGTCAGGAAATACAAATTTTTTTCATGTTTCTCTAAAGATTTTGGAAGCCTGGCAGGTTGATCAAAACAACAATCATTCAATATTATTCAAATTACTTAGTAAAAAGTTATTAAGCAAAGCACTCCATAGCAAAATCCTCTCTCTTCTAAATATAATTTCAAATTAATCTGTAATTAGCAACAATCAGTGCATTTTAGGTGACTAAACCGAGCTCTTTAAAAGCAGATGGTGGGGGCCCTGGCCTGAAGTGCCGGCATCCCATTTGGGCGCCGGTGCGAGTCCCGGCTGCTCAACTTCTGGTCCAGCAATCTGCTATGGCCTGGGATAGCAGTAGAAGATGGCCCAAATCCTTGGGCCCCTGAACCCTTGTGGGAGACCAGGAAGAAGCTCCTGGCTCCTGGCTGTGGATCAGCACAGCTCCGGCTGTTGTGGCCATCTGGGAAGTGAACCAGTGAATGGAAGACCTCTCTCTCTCTGCCTCTCCTTTCTCTCTGTGTATAACTCTGACTTTCAAGAGAAGGGGTGGGAGAGTCAGTATGGTGGAAAAAATCACTATATTCCTAAAGTTGTGCTTATAAAATGCATGAAATCTGTATTCCTTAAACACAAAGTTTCTTTGGGGAGAAAAATAAACAAACATGAAAAAAAAATCTTAAAAAAAAAAAAAAGCAGATAGTGGGGTCAGTGCTGTGGGGTAGTGGGTTAAAGCCACCACCTTCAGTGCTGACATCCAGTTCAAGTCCCGGCTGCTCCACTTCCGATCCAGCTCCTGCTATGGCCTGGGAAAGCAGTAGAAGATGGCCCAAGTCCTTGGGCCCCTGCACCTCTATGGGAGACCTGGAAGAAGATCCTGGCTCCTGCCTTCGGATCAGTGCAGCTCTGGCCGCTGTGGCCAATTGAGGAATGAACCAGCAGATGGAATACCTCTCTTTCTCTGCCATCTCCTTTTCTCTCTGTGTAACTCTGACAGTCAAATAAATAAATAAATCTTAAAAAAAAAAAAAAAGCAGATGGTATGTAGCCCCACATACTAACTACGGTGTTCTGACTCTTCTCCCAGTGATGTTCCAATAGTGAATTTAGCCTCATAGTCTCTGTTCATATTGAACATAAAATGAGAAGCACACAGTAAAACCAATTTTATTTTCATGCTAATTAAAAATCTTCAGTAAGGTATAAAATCAAAACTGTAGCTCATTATTAATAAAACTACAATCAATTAGCCAAGTGACTGAAAGCACTTCCCAAACCACACAGTTTCACTTTGCGTTTAAAGTGCTGATATGATCTTACGCTGACACTTCCAATATTGAATAGCTTGTAGAACCAAAAATTTGAATAAAATATGGAAGCTTATTACTATATCTGTTTCCTTTGGCAAGCAAGTTATCAATTTTAATACATTCTTTCACAATTTTATGAGTATTGTTATCTATTACTGAAAATTTGCAACAGGATATTATGTTCTCTTAAATAAGGGTTTATTTATATAAGAGAACATAAAAAAAGTTATACTTAAAAGACATATTCCTACATTAAAACAAACATGATATAGTTTTCCTTTTTTTTGGTGACACTCCATGTGTGCATGAGTTGATATTTATAATGCACAAGAGCTTCTTATAGTAAGGAGAGAGGCTGGGTTACTTAAATGACACAAACACAAAATAATGATCAATATAAGATGGGAAAAATAATTACAGCAATAATCTACGTCATTGGATTTTCAAGTCAGCACTTCTTTATAAAGAATTCACATACATGCACTTATCTCTGAAAATATGCTCTGGTAGAAAATAAGGGGCTTCCATAGTTCGAATTTCAATAACCTGAAAAAGTCAAAAACAAAACAAATATCAAAAACCTTACCTCTCAAGACCTTGCAAAGAAACTCTGAAAAACAATTTAAAAAGGACAAAACCTTTAAACATTTAAATGAAATATAATTTTATTTTGAAATTTAAGCTAAGTCTTGAGCCCAGAGTTCATTTTTGTTTTATTGTTTTAAAACCCTAGGATACACTGTCAAATTTTAACAATAAAGTAATATATAAAGTAAGAAATGATATTTTACATTTGCTCAAACCTACTATGAAGGAACAAGTATTTTTCCCAAAGAACTACTTTGGAAATCCCACTGGAAACCACCACCCTGCACGTTCCGCACACGTCCTGTAGCCTGCGCACCCTGCACGTTCTGCACACGTCCTGTAGCCTGCGCATGGGGCCTCAACCCGTCTGTGTGATGTGGCCCTCCACTGCTCCTGAGCGATGGGAACAGGGCATTCTGCTGTTAGAACAGCTGCTAATGCAGGCCTCAGAACTTACCTGCCTGTTTACTGAATGACCAAGTGTTATTAAGATGCACAAAACCTATACTTTTAAGGACTGAAAGATGTACTTCCAATTTCATAAAAATTAGGTTCTTCATGTCAGATGTTTTTAGAAGTGGACTTGTTCTGCTAAGTTAGGGACTCTTAAATGTATATGAAATCACATAAGTAACTAGTTAAGAGTTATTGCTGAAAAAACCTTAAGCATAATTGAAGGACTCAAGACAAAATTTTAAGACTCATGTTGATTCAGTTTTTAAATATGCCTCAAGTAGAGTAAAACAATAATGTAACATAAGAACAAATACAGCATGATTTTGGAAAATTTAGATATTAAGATTCATAATGCTAAAGAAAAAATTATGCAAGTAATCACACAAGATATTAACAAAGAAAACTCACCCACTACATTAAAAAATTCTAAGAAGTATTAAAGAAAATACAGGATAAAAATACTAACCGTAGTTTAGCTGTGATTTCAATTTAATTACTATTTTTATAGAACTGTCTTAATAATTTGATATATAATCATAAAAATTAATCACCACTGAAAGAAAATAAGCCATTTTTAGACAAGTTTAAGGACTTTTGTAAATTCATTACCTTGCTAACATGCTGGCAAAATGCAGGGACAGCTATCATCTGACTGACAAAGTTGAGGTACGCTGCAACCAGGGCCATGATTCCACACCGATGGAACATTGGCAAATTATCCTCATTGATAATCGCACTGTCCTTGAGTAAGAAACAAACACATTCAACAGATCACATGCTTAAGCTCCACTGACACCTCCTCTATGGCTACCTGGAAAACTGCAGGCAGTCTGGAACGCTAACAAAAGCGTCATCTTATCCGAAGCTATTTTCTAAAGAATTCTGAAAGGACAATAAATGCCCATTCACAGCGGAGTTAAATCTCAACTTCAATGTCTCTTTCTTGAAAAAGCCTTTTCTATTCTAACATCTCCATGCATACTGTCCCTATATTTTATAATGTACAAATGCAATTTAAATACATCAAATACATAATTAGTATTCAAAGACTATCTTTCCACTAGACAGACAGTATGGGTGTACAGGCTGTCTTTTTCACCACAGCATCCCAAGGGCCATGAAGTCAATACTCGTTAAAAAAAAGAATGCTATTATAATCTTGGGTAATTTAGATTTATAAGTAGACATCTCTAATTAAAATTCATGTCTTTGGATAAAGGCAGTAACACTTTAGAAAAGGTGTCTGTTTCATTAAAAAAAATCAAAATAAAAACACAAAACCAGTTTTCTTCAGTGACAGGTAATGAAAGCACACCTGTAAGGCAATGACCAGGCGGATAAGATCGATAACCACTTCTTCGTTGGCCAGTTCAATGGTTATAAGAGCAAGAGAAGTGTAAAGTAGCTCATAGTTTTTCTGAACATTGTCTTCCTCTTTACAGCCCAAATATATGTGCCGATACAGCTGCTGCCCATTCTGTAAGGAAATGACAGAGAAAAAAGATAATTCTGCTTAAAATGTAGTGAAGGCAAATGTCACATACATATAACCTTATAAAACAGTTCTTTTATTTCATAATGTAACATGGAAGTTGAGGTGATAATTATATGGTCAAACTGAATTCAGATGATTAACATCAACAAATATGTTAACATACAACTACAAAACGATGGTGGAGTTGAAGAGCAAACCTTAAAAACAGCAACTAAGGAATACTTCTAATGTAAACAATGTTTTTAGCAATAATTTGGGAAAACAAAATCAAATTATAGATTGATTTGAGAAAACACTGAAGTGGATGGCAGAATCCTGGGAAGATGCTTTTGTAGTACAGCCTTGGCAATGACACTGATACTCTGCTGTGGGGAAATGTACTGGCTTTCTTGTCTTGGGGATAAACCTTATGCTGTGGGTTGATAGATATCCAAGTGTGGCACAGTGAGCTATGACTCAACCTGAAGCGCCAGCATCCCCTATGGGCAGTGGCTGGTGTCCTGGCTGCTCTTCTTCTGATCCAGCTCTGTGCTAATGGCCTGGGAAAGCAGTGGAAGATGGCACACGTTCTTGGGCCCCTGTACCCACATGGGAGACTGGGAGGATGCTTCTGGTTCCTAGCTTCAGATAGGTGTAGCTCTGGTCATTGCAACCATATGGGAAGTGAACCAGCATATGGAAGACCTTTCTTTCTAATTCTACCTCTCAAATAAATAAATAAATATTAACTTAGGTGTGGAGTCTCCAAAGGCAAGTCCAAAGTCTATTTACCGGAAAGAGGGAAAAGAAACTCCACAGGCATCGCACAGAGGTTTCTCTCTAAACTAGATTAGTATATATATTTTTTTAATTTAATTTTATTTTTTTTAATTTTTTGACAGGCAGAGTGGACAGTGAGAGAGAGAGACAAAGAGAAAGGTCTTCCTTTTCCATTGGTTCACCCTCCAATGGCCGCCGCGGCTGGCACACTGCGCTGATCCGATGGCAGGAGCCAGGTACTTCTCCTGGTCTCCCATGGGGTGTAGGGCCCAACCACCTGGGCCATCCTCCACTGCACTCCCTGGCCACAGCAGAGAGCTGGCCTGGAAGAGGGGCAACCGGGACAGAATCCGGCGCCCTGACCGAGACTAGAACCCGGTGTGCCGGCGCCGCAAGGCAGAGGATTAGCCTATTGAGCGGCGGCGCAGGCCCTAGATTAGTATATTAATACCTAAGTATTTTAATAAAGGATATAGGGCTGGCACTGTGGCACAGCAGGTAAAGCTGTCGCCTGTGGTGCCGGTATACCATATGGGCGCCAGTTCAAGTTCTGGCGGCTCCACTTCCAATTCAGCTCTCTGCTGTGGCCTGGGAAAGCAGTGGAAGATGGCCCAAGTCCTTGGGTCCCTGCACCTGTATGGTAGACCCAGCGGAAGCTCCTGGCTCCTGGAATGGCTGCCATGCTCCTGCCTTCCCTACTCCTCATCCTTTCCCATATTTGATTTAACTAGTTAGTGGTCAAGCATTAGTGTTTTTACAGCACCAAGCTTCCCAGGTAACTGTAGTGTTCAGCCAGCATTAGGAACACACACACCACCATGTGGCAGGGGTTGAGTGGAGTGGGGGCTGTCAGGCCTGCTTCTTGGCAGGTTCCTCTGAGTACTTCAGAAGAGAGAACTGAGCAGGAACAGCACGAGACTCTTGTACCCAGCCTGTCTATAGCAAGTGTGTATTCTGCTCTGTTCTCCATCCAACTGTGACAGTGACTGCTTGCATCTGCTGAAACCAGTGGTGCATGTACGCACGCCTTTTTGGTTACAGATATGAAACTATGCTCTCCTACCCAGATTCCTTTGTCTTTGAAGTTGACAGTCAGGTTGGTACCACTCTGAATTCAGAGTTTGCTTTTTTCTTGAAGAGTGTCATTCTTGGGTAGAAAAGAAAGGTCTTATGTACTAGGTCTTCTCAAACCCTGAGACATACTCTTGAATCCCATACTTTCTAAACATTAAAAAACATTAAAGCAGTGCTCACAGGTTCAGTTTTCAGGTTCCATAAGTAATTTAAGTGTATTTTTAAAAATCATCGCTACATACCCACCATATTAAATAAAATTAAAATTCTGCAATATTTATTATAACCATGCAGAATAAACAGGTTTAATGACTTTTTAAAGTATCTGGGTATTATTTGGTGAATCTGAAGAATGCATAACCTTCTATGCAGTGATTTCTCCTCCAGCCCTTTCAGAAATGGGAACTGAATACATCATCACACACACACAAGCATGCTTGTGCATATCATGGAATGTATTTACTCCATGGAATACTGTGAAAGCTACCTACACATGGATGGATTCCACCAAGATGGAGCTGAATGAGAAAAACTAAGCAGAACAACACACAAACTGAGGTTCCTCTCATACAAAATACACGAAGTAGCCAAATAAACTAAATAATATTGTTTAAAAGTCAGAGCTGTGGGACAGGTGTTTGGCTGAGCAGTTAAGTGGCTGTATAGGAAATCCTTAGGAAGCCCACATCCCACATCTAAGTGCCTGAGACTGACACCCAGCCCCAGCTCCTGACTCCACGGCTTCCTGCTCCTGCAGACCCTGGGAGGCAGCAGTGATGGCTAGGAACACCTCCCAGGGTAAAGTGTAAGGGCATCCTGCGCCCAGGGACTTCTTTTTTCAAACAGACCCAATCTAAGATGTTCTAAGATGGGCAAGTTTTAGGCATGGCAATAACATGAAGCACAGCTTCCTGAACAGACAACTGCTAGCACAGAAAACATACTCCCCATGCTGAATGCAGATTCTCTCACAAAAAGGGCAGTCCACTGTCCTGTGGCTACAGAACACAATCCTTCTCTTCAGAACTTTGTAGAAATTTTTGTAAACTGCCAGTTAAGGTTGCTTATGAAAATCAAATAGCATTTTTACTGATAAAGAAATTAGAAAGGTAAATTAAAAAGAGTGTCTAATTCTAAAAATAAAATTTTGGTGAAGGAAAAAGTATGAACTGATTTTTCCTAAGGAAGAAGATCCTATTAGTTATAGTCCATCCTATCAGTAACAAATGCTAACCACTTTAGTTATTTGACACTGGAAAACAGGACAACTAACTCAGGAACCAGTTAAAAGATTCAAAATTTAACATATAACAAAGCAGTCTCATCTTGCAGGCAAATAAATCAATCATTCAAATTGATGATGAGAAAAACTAAGCATGGAGAAGTGTTATTTCTATCACTATCATAACAGATAAAATGAAAACCAGTCTCAGTGTTCGGTATTATTGAAGGTCATCACATAAATCCAAAGACCTTGAATTAACCATCAATTTAGTTTCCAAAATTCATTGTTTTATTCAGGATTAAAAGTTCCTCAGTGATGTGCAACATCTTCTTTAGCTGGGTTATATTAAAAAATACACAAAAAATACAATTTGGTAAGAGTTAATGTCTCTGCCCTATTGATTAACCAGCATTCTGATATACAAGGTTACTTCAAAGGATCATGGAAAAATGAAATTAAAAAATAAGCTCAGATTTATGCTAGAAAACTTTGAAATCTATGCAGTTTTCTGAATCCACATTTTCTTTTTTTTTTTACTTTTATTTAATGAATATAAATTTCCAAAGTACAGCTTATGGATTACAATGGCTTCCCCCCCCATAACTTCCCTCCCACCCGCAACCCTCCCCTTTCCCTCTCCCTCTCCCTTTCCATTCACATCAAGATTCATTTTCAATTATCTTTATATACAGAAGATCAGTTTAGCATATATTAAGTAAAGATTTCAACAGTCTGCACCCACATAGAAACACAAAGTGCAAAATACTGTTTGAGTACTCGTTATAGCATTAAATCACAATGTACAGCACATTAAGGACAGAGATCCTACATGAGGAGTAAGTGCACAGGGACTCCTGTTGTTGACTTAACAAATTGACACTCTTGTTTATGGCATCAGTAATCACCCTAGGTTCTTGTCATGAGTTGCCAAGGCTATGGAAGCCTTTTGAGTTCACCGACTCTGATCATATTTAGACAAGGTTGTAGTCAGAGTGGAAGTTCTCTCCTCCCTTGAGAGAAAGGTACCTCCTTCTTTGATGACCTGTTCTTTCCACTGGGATCTCACTCGTGGAGATCTTTCATTTAGGCCTTTATTTATTTATTTATTTATTTTGCCAGAGTGTCTTGGCTTTCCATGCCTGAAATACTCTCATGGGCTTTTCAGCCAGATCCGCATGCCTTAAGGGCTGATTCTGAGGCCAGAGTGCTGTTTAGGACATCTGCCATTCTATGGGTCTGCTGTGTATCTCGCTTCCCAAGTTGGATCGTTCTCTCCCTTTTTTATTCTATCAGTATTTGCAGACACTAGTCTTGTTTATGTGATCCCTTTGGCTCTTAGTCCTATCATTGTGATCAATTGTGAACTGAAATTGATCACTTGGACTAGTGAGATGGCATTGGTACATGCCACCTTGATGGTGAATCCACATTTTCTATGAACTTTTTATGGCCTCTCTTTTTTTTTATAGCCCCTCATTATTATAACCCAACCTAAAAATATTTTTATTCAAGGAATCAAGGAACAATATTTTCTTTTTATTTTAAAGATTTTTATTTATTTATTGAGAGAGAGTTACAGACAGTGAGAAGGAGAGTCAGAGAGAAAGGTCTTCCGTCCGTTGGTTCATTCCCCAAATGGCTGCAACAGCCAGAGCCGTGCCAATCCAAAGCCAAGAGCTGGGGCTTCCCCTGGTCTCCCACACGAGTGCAGGGGCCCGAGGACTTTCTCTGCTTTTCCAAGCCATAGCAGAGAGCTGGACTGGAAGAGCAGCAGCTGGGACCAGAACCAGCGCCCATATGGGTTGCCGGCGCAGCAGGCGGAAGACTAACCTACTGCGTCACTGCGCCAGCCCCACAATATTTTCAAAATAAATTTTGAAACTGAAGGAATTCACTTGATGCGCAGAAATCAATAATGATAGAGATGGCAACATTAAAGATGGTGACTGCAGAAAGTGTGGTCTAAGGAGGCAGAAACATGGACCTGAGAGATTTCTGCACCAACCTTCCTACGTGTCTGTGTTCCCTGCAACTCTATAGACAGAGCTCCCTTACCCACCATGACGAGTGTAGCGTGGCGCTTAGAACGTGTCACCTTTCAACACTAAGCTCAGTGTATGGCTAACACTTTGGATAAATAATGACCCAGAAATTCATTCAATATGCTAGAAAACCCTACAGAATTTAAATTATCATCATGGAAATCTAGCTAGATAGTACTTAAGGGAAGAGATCATGCCTAATTCATTTTTGTATCCCAAATGGAGATAGAACAGTGCCTAATACACAGTAAATATTCATTATAGTTATTTATTCAATGGTGACAGCCATTTTCAAAAACTTTAAGTTGTTTATAAAAGAGCCACTAAAAAGTAAAATCAGCATGTGTGTTCTGGATGGAGGAAGAGTACAGGGTAGAAATGAGAGTTTTCATTCAAAAGAAATTCTCTGGAACTATTACAGAAATGTAAGCTGGAGGAGACACCAGCAGGAATGTTGTAGCCATGTGGGGTGGCTGAAGTCAGCAGCATGATTCTAAGGCTTCATTTTAAAAAGCAACAGATCAACAGAAAAGCACCTAAAATTTATATTATGGATTTAGTTTTCACAAGACGATCTTACCTTTTTCATGAAACTTGTATCTTGTCTACAGATTTTTTCTCTTTTTATCTTTAGGTCAGCTACATCTGGTATTATTCTAGAGATAATCAATATAATGTTTTGAATAAATAGCATATTTAGTTATAATATCATGTCTTATATGGAAAAAAGTATTTATAATTAGGAGTTTACTTAATTTTTAATGAGCATTTAAAAGATGCCTATATGTATTGATACTACCGAATTATCAAGACAAATTAAGGGGGATCAAATATAGCAATCTAAATAGTAAGGTAATTCTTAAATTTAAAGCAAAAGCAAAATAAAAATCATGTTAATTAGTGACTACTAGCAGATAAGACCTTTGAAATGTACATTAAACAACCTCCAAGCATTTCCTGTCTTAAATATATTAATCGTTAAATAAAACTCTGTAAGAATAAAGTCTGAAAATTCTCGATGGAAGAAAATCACAATACTTTAAGGCATTCGTTAGAAGACGTCATCAACTCAGCCCGTTTCAGCACGGCCATTACCTGATCCCCCGGAGCTTGGCTCTATTGTCGTGGCGATCCATGAGGTTGTGCATGACCTCCAGAACTAACTGTCTCAGTTCATAATCTTCCATAAGGGATGGAGACAACAAAGGGTCCAGAAAAGACCCTGGAAGTGCAGTAACAATTGTCTTTGCTTTGTATCCAGAGGTTACCTGTTTATGAGGAGGAAAACAAATAAAAAACATTTGTCACTAATGCTTTGGTAAGATTCTCATATTGTTTTACCTAGAGAAACAAAATATGGACATAAGCTTGAAGGAAAGACATAAAGGAAATCAGTGAAGTGCCATTATTCTTAAAAGAATACTACTACTACCAACAGGACAGTTACCAAGTGCCAGGCATGATCTAACCCCCAACTATGTATTGATTCCATCCAGAGCACATCTGGTGAGTAGTCATGAGCAAAGCCCCATTTTGTAAAGGAAACTGAGGTTTTTATAGGTTAGGAATAGGTAGTGAGAATGAAGAGGTGGAAAATACTAAAGGTAAGTCCTTCAAATTTTAAATTTAAATTTGTAAATTATTCTTTTAGTTTAAATTAAGCAGTTGGATAACAGGAACACAATTTCATTTTGGAATGTCACACTTTATTATTTATTTGACTTGACATTTTGAGAATATCAGTATTCTCTAAATTTAAAGTTTTTAAGGAGAATATACTTAAATGTTATTAATATATTTTAATTGTATCACACATATATTTTTCAGTTGGCTATGTGGTATAATCAATTTACTTAGGGAATATGTTTAGTATAAACAAAGATCAGGAACAAATGAAAATTCAGCTGGGAGTTTCTACTTATTCTCAAGATTATAAGCATATATGGATATTAAACATTTATATTTTGCACACTTACTATAGAATGGAGGTTATTTTCTAAATTGGCAGGGAAACTGGTGGGACAATTAGCTACCAACTTAGGAAATTAAAAATATATACATATTTCTCACACTATCTTCAAAAAATTTTCAGATAAAAATTCTAAATAGAGAATACCAAATTTAAAAAAAATTTATAATATACATAGTGTGTTTATAGCACAGTTGGCCACAACTTATTAAATAAGACACAAATAAAAAGGTGAGAAACAGAAAGCACTGATAATTATGTCTATATTCAAATATCACAAGTACCATGAACAAGATTAAAAATGAAATCACAGAAGATACTATTGTATCTTTAGGTATGAGAGAATTCCTTAAAAAAATAGGATTATGGGACATTAATATTTTCCCAGAATAAACCAGGAAGATATTGAATTGGAAAAGACACACTTTCCAAACAACTGGCCCCTGCCTAGTTCTTGTCATTACATTTGGAGTAGCTGAATAAAAAAAGAATACTGTTAACTATGAAATAATCAGCATTTCTCATTTTGGCTATAATTTTCCTTTTCAACTACTTACAGTCACTCCCAATTTAACATACTAGATTTTCATTTTCATGAATTCTTTTCCCAGTACAAAATCACTATTTGGTCAGGGTGTGAAGGAAGGAGCCTACTATGTAAAAGAACTCTAGACTTCAATCCCAAGTTCTACTCTTTAGCACAGTGGCCATGATGAACTGCCTCAACTCCCTCCACTCCTCTGAGACCAGGCATCTGCAAAATGGCAGTATTTCCTGTCCTTTGTATATTTCATCATTATGAAGACCAAACAAAATGACAGAAGGAAGGAAACAGTAGTAAAAAGTACAGGGTAATAAAGAAAAATGCAAAATATTTAATTCCAGAAACAGTGTTTAGTAAATAAGAAAATGAAGCTGATGATGTGAGGCTATTCCTTTATTTTTCAGTAACTTAAAGTGTGTCCTTCATATGCCTTAAATGCCTTACCATGAGTAAAGACCTCAGCAACATTATCTGAATCCGCCTCGTTCCCAAATCCCTAAAATATACAAAATGCTGGCATTAAAACTCATTAACATTCGCTCCTATTACTATTTATTGATTTTAAAATTCCATTCCACTGGCTGTTATTTTTATGATAGCAAAAGGCATGGCACACTTTATAAGCTAAAGTAAATTTCATATGAATTAAATTTATTACACATATATAAAAATCAAATTTAAACAAAAAAAATTGAGATATTGGCTTTCAAAGCAAACAGTACTATAACATATGATGACATGAAAATCAAATCATATGAATACATAAGTGAACAATTCAAATTAAAAGACACTATAAATCAGGAAAAATATGTACTGTGAATATAGGCGATGAATATGTCTTCAATATATAACAATAAGTAAAGAATAGATGATTAAAAACAATTAATAAATGGAAAACCAAATAAGATACTGCCATTTCCTTATTAAATTAGAAAAAAAAAAAAACCTACAAACTACAGCTTTGGTATGATATGAAACCACATTAAATATATAAAACAAGGGGAAGAGAACAGGTTAGCTTTAAAATCACAATCAGTTCTAGAATTCTAGAATAAGCCAATATTCCTGATACACTAACATTAAAAGTATTTTTAACAGACAACTTGAAACTTTACCTTAAATATGTACGCACATACATAATGACCAGGTTGAATAAACCTTACACTTGTTCAATAAAAGACATAGAAAATTTGAGATTTTATAAGCTGAAAAATTATTTTATTATTTTTTTAAAGATTCATTTATTTATTTATTTAAAAGCCAGAGTTACATGCAGAGAGTGAGAGAGACAGACAGAGGTCTTCCAACAGCTGGTTCACTCCCCAATTGGTCACAACAGCTGGAGTTTCTGGCTCCTGGCTTCGGATTGGCCAAGCCCCAGCTGTGCGCAGGCATTTGGGGAGAGAACCAGTGAACAGAAAATTTCTACCTCTCGCTCTGTCACTTTTTCAAATAAAATAATAGTAATAATAGTAAAATAAATAAATCTTTAAAAATACATACAAAGCTATAATTTTCTAGATTTCTTTCAGAAAAAATTTAATCCAAGACTAAATGCAAATTTAGTCTGAGAACATACCCTAGTTGACTGATATCCAAAGTGTGGGCAGATGTTCCAAAAACAGGTACTTTTCCCATGATGAACATCATGATTTCTGACCTCTGATAATCTGGCAGATTACTTCCAAAAAATCCTGTAGAAATATTAAGATGCATTTTGCAAATTAGGAAGGTTTATTTTTTCAATAATACAAAATTGTAATTTATTGAAAGCTTCCAATATGTGGTAAAACAATGACTGCCTTTAAGGTAAATCTAACAGTAAAGATAATGGAATTTCATTTGCCCAAAATCATTTCATCACGTATAATACATGTCTAATGAACTAATATGTAGGGAATGTAATAAACTGGAGCCAGAAATATCTTGCTTTAGCTAATAGTGGCAAGCCATTATCAAGTTGAGTGGACTGGAGTTTTAGAAAAAGGTAAAAGAGAGTTTGATAGTATTTCTGCTAAAACTCTGCTCATATACTGAGAGTAGAAATTCTTGTTCTGGAAAAGACGTCAGTAGTTGGGCTACACTAGTTGGTAAAGAAGTCAACAATCAGGAGACTACTGAAGCATCTTCCCAGGATTGCTCAAATGTTAACTCTGAGTTAATTCAACAGACATCATTCAATGGGTATAAAAAATATGAAATTTATACATTTGTCATTTTTCTCATGCAATCTTGAGATTGAGGACATTTTAAATTTATCTGCTGTAGCTTTTGGATGGCTGACATGCTGGTCAGAAAAGATTTCCAAGTTTCAATTATTTTATTATTTATTTGCATTTTAAATGTTCTTGTTTCGTTGAAAGATAAGAACAGATATCAAATCCTAGTTGTTCTTATTCCTTTCTTAAAATCCAACATAATCATTACGGACTCTTTGTATTTTTAACATTTCTTTAACAGTGAGTTTGCTTTTTTTAACTTAACTCTTCAGCTGCTGTGATTAGGATTAATAATTTATTTATACACCCTCAAATTGCTTTTCTCATCATTTTGATTGGGCTTAGGGGGTAAAAGTGATCTCCCAAAATCAGACTAGCAATCAAAAATCTCATTATCTTAACATTACTCCATCTGCATAAAGTATATTATTCTAGCTAATATTTAACGAGCACTCTTTCATAAAACAAGAATCTATTTTGTATTCGAATCCTCAAAGCAGCCTTACGAGTCTAAGTATTATTATTTGTCTTAGTTTCTTCTGTGGAAATGAGGTCAAGACTTAAGAACTACTGTAAGAAATTACACAGCTAATATTAAGGCCTCAAGAAATGGCTATTTCTTTCCAAAGTCTATGCTATTAGTATGTTATTCTTCCTCTATAGAAGCTACTTTTAACTTCCTAAGCACCCAATTAGATATGTTCCTAAACACTGCAGAAAACTGGATACTGTTTTTGCTGTTCCCAACATCAGTCATTAGCACAAGAACATAAAATAGCGTGCGCTTCTGATTACCACAGCACCTGGCATAGACTGCCCACCTATCAGGCTGCTAAAAGCTTACAAGCACCGCCATGCCTCTTCATATGACAGCACTCCTACCCTTAGTCCACAGTCACACGTCATGCTTTACAAAGGTGTGGAATAGTTTGCTCTAACCCAGTAGTACCCAAACTTTGCTGCATATCAGAGTTACCTAGGTAACTCTGAAAATGCTGGTGCTCAGGTCATACATCAAACTAATTAAGTCAGAGTATCAGAGGGTAGGAGTCCAAGCATCAGTTTTTTAAGATTCTGAGCTAATTCCAAGTTACAGAAAATTTTAAGAATCAACGAGGGAAAATTTATTTTTCTTTCCCAAATATAAGGTCAACTGAGGCTGGTATTGATTAGATAAAAATAAGACTGCTGAAGAACTGAAAATAGTCACAGTAGGAAGGAAGGCAATTTATGCTTTACAATTTATTTTCTTAACGTAAAATTTGGCAGTCTGCAACATGATCAACTGTAAGGAAGGAGTCTAGGACAGCACTCGTTCTTCACACTCATTGTCTGTGTTTGGTGCACTGAACAGAAAGGTCGATGGACCCAGTAAAGCACATGACAGAGATACATTCCTGATTGTTTCAAAAAAAGGACATGGCCAACAGCCTACTAACCTAAAGTCTAAAAACTATAGGAGTCATGTTCCATGGGCCTCCCACAAGAGAATCTACAACAGCTGGTAACTACCAGAATATAAGAAATTCTAAAAGAAAATACTAAGAAAAGTCAGAGGTGTGACTTTTTTTAAAAAAAAAAAAAAAGGAAAATTTTACTCATTGTGTCACATTACATTTCTTTTCTCTCATGTTTAAATTCTCACGTTACTCTGAATGTGCTTTATTACAGAAATACTGAGTCTGCCTACACACATTTTGTAACAAAATCCTTGAGAAGCAAAAAGTAAATAGAGTAAAACAGTAATACTGAATTAATCAGAAGTTAGAAAAACCATTTAAATTAATTCTATGAGAATAAGATTAGCTGCTTTGGTATATCATCTTAAAATATCACAGAAAATCTCCAAGTAATACAAATAAATGTAAGAGTCACCACAGAAACTGGGTTCACTTTACATTGATAGTAACAGTTTTAAGCAGTAACCAGAATGCCTCTAATTCACTGAAGCTCCATGGTAATGCTTAACTTTATTTTATATGGTCTTTTCAGTCAATCCCCAAATCTTACACATTTATCACATTAGAGAGTACACTGGAAAAGATACTCCAATGCATTGCCTCTCAGGAAGAGCATTTCTACGCACATTATGAGAGAAACTGCAAGAAGGTGAAATGGAGGTACCACACTAGGCAGATCAGTTAAACATCTCCAGCAAGGTGACAGCTGTGTGCATCGTGAGGCCCTGGCACAGGACCTGGCATACACATTGGGTTCAACATGTAGGAACTGAATGGGGATGCAGAATACATGTGTCCAAGCTCATAAAACTTCAGAAATAGGAGAAACTTTGTATTAAGTATTCCAAAGAAGTATCACAGAGGTAGCCAAGTAGATAGCCAAGTATCACAGAGGTAGCCAACTAGCCAGATAAAAGGCATAAATCTAGTTCCAAGTATATAGGTACTATACTCTACAAATATAAACCAGTTTTGAAATGATCATGGCACTCCACTCAAGTAGTTACAGTAAAATATGATTGCTATTCTGAAGAAAATATTGGTGGAGGGAGGTGTTGAAGTAGAAAACAGCTTGCTTGCTTTAACTGATTTACCTACAGTCAGGTTATTTCATTTTCCAAGAAAATACACTCAAGTCACTTTTTATTTTTTATTAAGATTTATTTATTTATTTGAAAGTCAGAGTTACACAGAGAGAGGAGAGGCAGAGAGAGAGAGAGAGAGAGAGAGGGAGAGAGAGAGGTCTTCCATCCGATGGTTCACTCCCCAATTGGCCGCAATGGCCGGAGCTGTGCCAATCCTGGCCAGGAGCCAGGAGCCTCTTCCGGGTCTCACACGGGGTTGCAGGGGCCCAAGGACTTGAGTCATTTTCCATTGCTTTCCCAGGCCACAGCAGAGAGTTAGTTCGGAAGTGGATCAACCAGGTCTCGAACTGGCAGCCATATGGGATGCCAGTGCTTCAGCCCAGGGCGTTAACCCACTGTGCTACAGCACCAGACCCAGGCTTTTTTTTTTTTAAAGGAAGCTCTTCTCATTTGTATATATATGTACAAAGGTAGAAAATGATGCTTGTGCTTATAATAAAGCACTGAGCACCAACAGGTAGTTGTGGAAGGAGTGTTCAACTTTATTTTAATATTTATATATTTATTTCAAAGGCAGAGTTACAGAGACGCAGAGGAAGAGAGAGTGAGGGAGGTCTTCCATCCGCTGGTTCACTCCCCAGATGGCTGCAATGGCCGGAGTTGCACCAATCTGAAGCCAGGAGCCAGGAGTTTCTTCCAGGTCTCGCATGCGGGTGCAGGGGCCCAAGGACTTGGGCCATCTTCCACTGCTTTCTCAGGCCATAGCAGAGAGCTGGATTGGAAGTGGGGCAGCAGGGTCTCAAAAGGGCACCCATATGGGATGCCAGCACTACAAGCAGCACCTTTACCTGCTATGCCACAGTGCTGGCCCTCAGAATGCTCAACTTTAAATTCCATTATTTTGCAGCCATCACGGTAAAAGACTGGTTCAGGCAAGAAAAGAATTGTATGCTAAATGTAGGGAAAGTTTAGATAAAAGGTAGAATATTTCTGCTTATTACTTGCCCCAAAAACTCAAACTACACAGTGAAGAAATAGGAGCACACATTGACTGATCAAAATTAACTTCACCAATGAGAAGCATATGTATGCCATATACCTCTGGATGTGCTGCTCTGACAAGACCATATCACAAATGCAGTATTCCAGACAGGACTGTGTAACCTAAAGTTAACCATGGGGAAACATCAGACAAAACCTAATAATAAACTTTCTATTCTTTTAAAAAAAGGAGAAGTGGGGCCAGCATTGTGGCACAGCGGGTTAAGCCGCTGCCTGCAATTCTGGCATCCCATCTGATCACCAGTTTGTGTCTTGGCTGCTGCAATTCTGATCCAGCTCCATGCTAATGTGCCTGGGAAAGCAATGGAAGATGGCTCAAGTGCTAGGGGCCTTGAAACCACATGAGAGACCTGGAAGAAGCTCCTGGCTCTTGCTTCAGCCTGGCCCAGACCTAGTGGTCACGGCCATTTGGGGAGTGAACCAGTGGATGAAAGTTATCTAGTAACACTGCCTTTTAAGTAGGTAAATAAATCTTCAAATAAATAAATAAATCTTAAAAAAATTCCTATGCCATAATAAAATGTCCCACACTAATGGAGCTAAAGACATATTACAACTAAATACAACATATGATCCTGACTGGGTTTTAGACCCAAGGGGAAAAAGCTATAAAGGACATTATTGAGCCTAGTGACAAAACTGAAATATGGAAGGTTGATTAAAGTATTGTACCAATATTAAATTTATGGACATTGGTAACTTTAGTCTTATTATGTAAGGCATAATGTATTCAACTTACTATATCCAGTGATTTAGGAAAAAAGTATACATGTGTGTATATATGTATATTTTTTAGACATACACACATTTGCTGAGAGGGAGAGAAAGTGGAAAGAAGGGAATGGAATGAGAAAGAATGAGAGAGGGAGTGTTGGAGGGAAGAGGGAGGAGATGACAGATGGGGCTGGGGTTGGGGAGACTGGGAAGAACAAATGAATAAATGGCATTATAGCTCTCAATAAATGAATCTGGTAAGGGCAAGCAGCATTCTTTGTCCCATTCTTATGCAGGTTTACTTTCTAAATATAAAGTTTAGAATCTAAGCTGCCAGTCTTCTTTAGCAAGTACTGTAAAAGTACTTTAAGTGAGAGCTTTTTAACCAGCGTTTTCCATAACAGGATTGGAAAGTGACTTGCACTCACCTATTGTTTGGATGATAGCGTTCTGCACAATCTTCTCGTCATTGTCTTTGGAACTTGTGTTTAAGTTGGCACTACCTGCAGGTCCCCCCTGTAAATCGTTTGCTTCAAATTCAACACTGAGACGCAGATGCTTCAACAGGGTATTGAACACCTCCAGCACGGTGGGCCCTGTGAAGGATCACTTACATGAGCAGATCAAAATCAATTCTCATATTTCTCATCAGAGTTTTTGATTAGTTTCTAAATAATCAAATATATAATAATTTATGAACTAACCAGTCCATTAAAACAAACAAAAGAGAAAAATACCTAAATAATAAAATGCCTCCATTTTAACACAAACATTTGTAGGATATCTATGAGAAGCTCATTGTTTAAATCTCTGCTATAATCCAAACAAAATGTGCAGCGGTATAGAAAGGTTACCAAAAACTTCCTACCTATCTACCCTTGTCTGCTCAGAGTAATGTGGACTGAGACAATTAGCCTGACTGCTGACTGGCCCATCAGAACCCATATGATTGCAATATACAGTCCACTGTCCCAGAGAAGACTTACTGGGCATCTTGTGAGATGGAAGAAAGAAGATGCTGCCTCAGTTCTGAGACATAAACTAGCCAATTTATCAGATTAAGCTAAACTGAAATTGCTTTCTGACTTTTGTTCTATGAATTCCCCAGAGAGCCCTACCCCTGCCTCTATCACAGGATGTTCTAATCTGTAGATTTCATTTCTATTCCCCCTCTCCACTGGGGACTCCTTCAGCACAGCTCCAGGTTCACATGCTCCTTCAAACGTACAAACGCTGGCACACAGTACCTAACACACAAGATGGCTCAAGGTATCATCAGCATCTCCTTACATACTCTCGCCAAACAATCTATCATTCTAATTAAATCAATAATTTATTGATGGATTATTAATTTATTATTGTATGAATTAAGCAGCTTGCACATCAATAATCTGCTTCACCAATCTGAGGTCAGTTTAAGATAAATAATAAAAAGTTCATAGTCAAAATACCATTTGACACTGAAAGGATATTAGAATATTTCATTAGTTGCTATATTTCCACTTCAATTTTGAAACAAAGAGACCCTAACCAGGTTCTCCTTCTGAAGTTTCATACCCCTATTAAGAATCCTTGCATTTTTCTAATCACACATAGGTGAAAGGTCACACTTTGACCCGTCACCTCTAATCAGCCAATTACCGAATTCTACTGACTTTATAATACTCATCCCTACTGCTGCTATCCAAGTGGCAAGTTCTTTCTTTCACATCTACAATAATGATGTTGACTTAACTCTAATGAGCCCTACATTTTATTGCCAGATGAATTATCATAGTACATTTCTGACAAAAATTACAATAAGTCTTTAAAGACTGTCAATCAACTACAGAACTAAAATCTACAACCTACTGAAATTTCATTTTAAATCCACTTCTCTGATTTGTTTCCAACATCATACATTCAAGTCATATGAGACTCATAATATTTTGTTCATGCTAATCCCAATTCCCTCTCTTATCTTGATACCCGTTTTCTCAAGATATGTGATCAAAATCTGCCTTATAGTATCAGGTGGCTTGTCTAACCACAGTAAGTTTCAGTTTCTTTTATCTGTATCCTCCCAATGTTCAGTACATACTCAAAACCTAAAGGAAGGAAAGAAGAGACTGGTTTGAATGGACATGTTCGGATACAAAAGCAGCCTGAAAATAATAACTTGGATTCAAACTTTTAAGAGAAATTTATAGCACATTTTAAAATGGATAGCAATTTTATTAAGTTGTTTTTTCATAATCTACTAAAAATGCTTTGAAATATAATGCATCATTTTACTGCCTTTAACAAAAAAAAGGACACTCACCTATGGAGCCTTTAGCAGCAATGGCAACAGCCTCTAACAGAACCTGAATAATACCCGCTCGAACCCGTGGAGAATCTTTTTTACAAGCATCAAGGTGTCCTAGAATCTCCTGGATCACATGATGAGAATACTGAGCCTAAAATAAATAAAGTAATACAAAGATGTAGGAACAGTACATGCATTCTGGCACAATTCTTCTTTTTCACATGTAAGTGAATCTGTTCAACCACAGTGAATAATACTAGAATCTACCACAAAAAAAAAGGCATTCAGAAAAATGTTTGATTCTAAGGAACATTTATAAAAAAAACAACAGTAGCATGGTCCTGTGACATGAGTGTAACTCCAGTCCTGCACCAAGCTGTAAAAAGAAACGGCCTGTGATCCTGAAGCTCACTATTAGAGTGTGCCTTCAGACAGGCTCCAAGCTGCACTGTTTTCAAGTTAATTATATTTTTTCTTCTTTGGAGTGTTTATTTTTATTAAGAGAACATCCTACACATAATGGCTGCTCTGTTCAAAAGCAAAGAACTCCCTTCCAGACCCATCAACATGATAAATTTCACGTTCAGGTGTTTCTGGCATCTGTGTCCCAGCATGTCTCCTTTTATAATAATGCAAAGCAAAAACTAAGTTTGCATTCTCATCACTGCTTCAGTTACAGTTATATTAACACAGAGGAACATTATACACACAAAACACACAACCTGAAACAACTTCTCGGCAAAGAAGCTGAGTGTTTCTGATAGCTGAACTTTATACAATGACAGTTTGCCTTATTTTTTGTCTATATTTTTCTAAACAGAAAAAATGTACAGTATATCATCTATAATCACCCTACTACAGAAAACTCCAAAACTTACTTCTAACTGTAATCTAGTACCTGTCAATCAACCTTTCCTCAACGTTCCCTTTATATGTGTTGCATGCACAACAGCCCTAGGAGGCAGGTCCAGCTCAGTTGGTCTATGCACAGCACAAACAGAACCCCAAGGAAGGGCCTAGGAAGAGAATTCTAGGCTGACCCTGGAATCCACCTCCTAATCATACCTTACTACCCCCATGAATCAATTTAGCACAGAAGATCAGGATTAAAGAAAATATTTTCCTTGTACCACAAATGTCCTACTGTATTTGGAACTATTTAATCTCTTGAGGATATAAACCCTGGTCAGGGATAGCCAGCTTGTTTTGAGAAGACTGAATAATTATCTAAGGATAATATTTCTATTAATTTTATACTAAACTGAAATTTTAAAAAAGCCTATGATCAGTTTGAACTGTACCAAGATAGTCTTATTAGACATAAATTCATATTCTGTTGGACACTAATATTTAATTCTTGATTAATGAACTTCATAAAATGTATGGTGTAATCACAAATATTTTTAAAGCACTGTGTAGATCAGAAGACGTTTTATGAACATTTAATCAATAAATGTTGATTCCTAAGTTTTTATAACATTATAATTTATTTCCTTCATTTCTATAAAAAATTTCATCTCACAACTAAATCTGAATGAAGGAGGGTGAATGACAGAAAAACACAAGGCCAGAAAGACCCTAGTTTATGTGTATACACTGTCAGATCTACTTCTAAGTTAAAAATAAACTTAACAAATTACTCTTCCATAAATCCAGATCAACTTTATAATAACTATCACTTATCGAACACTTTATGTTAGGCATTTGATATCAACTTTAATGGTTACTTCAGAATAGGAATTCCAGAATAAAATGATCAGAATTTGAATCCTGCTTTACTTTCTACTTGCATATACTTGAGTCGTCTCTTCACCTTTTGGGAAGTTAATTTTCTGACTTTTAAAATGCGGATAGCAACAATGTCCAGTTTATAGGCAAAGGAGAGTTAAATGAGATAAACCATGTAAGACTGTGAGCCACGTCAAGGGACACAGCTAGCACTTGATAAAAGGTTCTACTTTAATGTGTAAGTCAACCATTTAAGGCGTAAGTTAAAAGTTTCTTCTCATAGATGAGGAATATAGTACTCTGAGAGGCTGAACAATTTTCCTAAGTTCATATAACTAATAAACAGCACATCCTCAGTGCAAATCCTGGTATGACCTATGTTAATATCTGTGCTGCTTCTGACAACTCCTTTTAAGTAATGGTGATGTTTTAACAGTACTAAAAATGTAAATTGTGTAAAAAGGATCTGAAGTCACTATTAAATTAAGAGCTGGCCAGGACTGTTCAGGTTTAGATAAGAACCAGAATGCTTGCCTACAGGAGGTAAGTGTTTCACCATCAGTTTCTGTAACGACTAACAGTTCTTACATGTACTATCTCAAGGTGCCATAGCCAATACTCAATAAATGCTAGCTGTTATTACCAGCTACACACTGTTACAATAAATATCAAATGCAATACTAGTCCATCTGTAAAATAAAAATATAGTTAAGCACCATCATAAAATTTAGTTTTTATTATGTATTTTTCATATTAGAAAATGAGAAATGAGAAATATATACATATATTAAAAACATGTTTTACATCCTACAGTTTACTGTATACCTGATGATGTGCTTATCTATACAGAAACAAAATTACTTAAATAAAAATAGTTACATAGTTAACCAAAACTTACCTGAATAGAATACATTATAATTTTAAAGCAGTGAACTGCAAATTCATTGGGATCCCACAGTTTGTGATGATCTAAATGCCTGTAAATAACAAAAGTTACTTTACAAATGTTCTTGTCTTATTACAATTTCTTCCTCTAGAATTGTCAACGATATTGAAAAGCTTAACACTCATAACATCTGAAAGAAGGTAAAGGTTTCCAAAAATAAGAATTTATATCCCTCAACTGCCAAACCCAGTCAAAAAACAGATAAAATAGCAGATTTTTTTATGACTTTTAAATACCTAGAAGTCGCAAGAAAGAAAATTCTCTCAAGCCAAACCAGCAGGCAAGCCTCTGCAGAAGTGAGTACACTGATGGCAGCAGCTGTCCTGGACACATCCTCAGGGCTCCAGGGCCCAGAGCTAAGGGCCTCAAGGCTGTACACACCAGAGACTGGAGACAAAGCTTAGGGCCCACCCAGGAAGGACGGGCTATCATTTGAGATCAGCCATCCTATCATCAACTCAGAACCCCTAAAGCTAGACCCTCAAAAGATCGGGGTGAACCTTCCATATTCACATAATTGTTCAATTTTAAATATAAAAGAAAAAAAGAAGTTCATAGAAATAAAAAAAAAAAAAAGTAGCAGAATGTTGAAGCTTGCCTATCTTGATGTTGGCTCTGAGGGCAACGTGAAAAACAGAAATCTTTCCAGGGGCCAGCACTATGGCACAGCAGGTTAATGCCCTGGCCTGGAGTGCTGGCATCCCATATGGGCATCGGTTCAAGACCCGGCTGCCCCATTTTCGATCTAGCTCTCTGCTATGGCCTAGGAGAGCAGTGGAGGATGGCCCAAGTCTTTGGACCCCTGCACCCACGTGGGAAACCCAGAGGAAGCTCGTGGCTCCTGGCTTTGATCGACACAGCTCCGGCCATTGTGACCCTCTGGGGAGTGAACCAGAGGATGGAAGACCTCTCTCTCTCTCTGCCTCTCCTCTCTTACTTTCAAGTAAAATAAATAAATCTTAAAAAAAAAAAGGGAAATTTTTCCAGAGACTTCAAACACTCAGCCAGCAGCCAGGCCAGGAACATGGGAGATATTTTATTTCTAGTTAATGAATGACTCTAGAAAAATGGCTCTTAAAATGAATAAAATTGCTCTGGAAATTTTATCTGTAGGAAAAAATCCTTCAGTTCAACAGTGAAGCATGTTTATTTCAAATGTTACTTGAATTAGTACAGACAATAAATTATAAAATAGAAATTTTGAGTATCACACTTTTAATTAATAGGGGGCACACAACACATTTCTTCAGTATCTAAGAATACTATACAAAGACTTAGCAATGTTGTTATAAGACAATAAAGATTTCAACAGTTTTGTATACATAAATCTTTACTTAATGTATACTAAACTGATCCTCTGTAAAAAAAAAAAAAAAGAAATTATCAACTCCCAACTTGACTCTCACTGGGATTAAACATGACAATAGGTCCGATCTGATTTCATCATCATTTAAAAAAAAAATCGGCCGGCGCCGTGGCTCAATAGGCTAATCCTCCACCTTGCGGCGCCGGCACACTGGGTTCTAGTCCCGGTGGGGGCGCCGGATTCTGTCCCAGTTGCCCCTCTTCCAGGCCAGCTCTCTGCTATGGCCAGGGAGTGCAGTGGAGGATGGCCCAGGTGCTTGGGCCCTGCACCCCATGGGAGACCACGAAAAGCACCTGGATCCTGGCTCCTGCCATCGGATCAGCGCGGTGCGCCGGCTGCAGCGGCGGCCATTGGAGGGTGAGGCCATTGGAGGGTGAACCAACGGCAAAGGAAGACCTTTCTTTCTCTGTCTCTCTCTCTCACTGTCCACTCTGCCTGTCAAAAATAAAAAAAAAAAAATCATCTATTATTTTTCACTTTATGTTTCTGTGTGGGAGCAAACTGTTGAAATCCTTACTTAATGTATACTAAGCTGATCTTCTGTATAATAAGATAATTTCAAATGAATCTTGATGTGAATGGAAGGGGAGAGGGAGTGGGAAAGGGGAGGGTAGTGGGTGGGAGGGACGGTATGGGGGAGAAGCCATTGTAATCCATAAATCGTACTTTGGAAATTTATATTCATTAAATAAAAGTTAAAAAAAAAAAGACAATAAAGAAAAGCGTAGGTTTAAATTAAGTTAAGGGAGAATTAAGTGGAAAAGAATTTTTAAAAAATCTTCTGGGGCCAGCATTGTGGCACAGATTTAAGCTGCTGCCTGGATGCTGACATCCCATATGAGAATGGTTTGAGTCCCTGCAGCTCCACTTCAGATCCAGCTGATTCACTCCCCAAACAGCCACACAGCTTGGGCTGGGACAGGCGGAAAGCAGGAGCCTGGAACTCTATCTTGGTCTGCTACATGGGTGGCAGGTACTAGGCTTTCCCAGGCACATTGGCAGGGAGCTGGTTGGAAAGTGGAGCAGTGGGAACTTGAATCAGCACTGGTATCACGGGTGGCAGCTTTTACTAAATGCACAACCACATCACTGGCCCCACCCCCACCTGCGTTTTTTAAGGTTTATTTATTTATATGAAAGGCAGAGGCCGGTGCCGTGGCTGAATAGGCTAATCCTCTGCCTGCAGCGCCGGCACACCAGGTTCTAGTCCCGGTCGGGGTGCCGGATTCTGTCCCGGTTGCCCCTCTTCCAGGCCAGCTCTCTGCTGTGGCCAGGGAGTGCAGGGAGGATGGCCCAAGTCCTTGGGCCCTGCACCCCATGGGAGACCAGGAGAAGCACCTGGCTCCTGGCTTCAGATCAGCGCGGTGTGCCGGCCACAGCAGCCATTGGAGGGTGAACCAACAGCAAAGGAAGACCTTTCTCTCTGTCTCTCTCTTTCTCACTGTCCACTCTGCCTGTCAAAAAAAAGAAGGAAAGGCAGGCAGAGTTAACAGAGATAGAGGGAGAGACAGAGAGAAAAGGTTAATTCTTTCAAAGGGCAATTCTGATCATTTTATACCTTGGAGCTAAAATCTCCAAACTGCCTACAGATTTAAATATAAAACTCTTAAGATCTCTACAGTGTAGCCTAAACTTTTTCTTCTTTTCCCACACTAACTTCTTCACTGGTTCCAACACTCCAGTGAATGGTATCAGTGCCCTGTGTTCACTGTTGGTTAAAGGGAGATAGTCAAATTTCCTACTGAATCATTTATTTTCTTTACTAAATAACAACTGAAATTTTAATTATTTAATTTTGTTAATACAAAGAGTACAGATTTCACGTATTCCATGGATACAATTCTAAGAATATAACGATAACTTCTTCTCTCCCTCAAACCTCCCTCCTCCTTTCCTTTTTAAAATTTTTGCAATAACATATTTTTGGCATTTCACATATATAGTTTTAAGTATGATGATACTTCTCACCACACCCTCCCTCTCTGCCTCCTACTCTCCCACCTCCTTTTCATTTCTGTTAATTCTTAAAATGACATGCTTTTTTTTTTTTTTAAGATTTATTTATTTTACTTAAAAGTCACAGTTACACAGAGAGAGGAGGCAGAGAGAGAGAGACAGACAGACAGACAGACAGGGAGTCTTCCATCCACTGATTCACTCCCCAATTGGCTACAACGGCCAGAGCTGCGCCAATCTGAAGCCAGGAGCTTCTTCCAAGTCCCCCACGTGGGTACATGGGCCCAAGGACTTGGGCCATCTCCTATTGCTCTCCCAGGCCACAGCAGAGAGCTGAATCTGAAGTGGAACAGCCGGGTCTCCAACCGGCGCCCATATAAGATGCTAGCACCGTAGGCGGCAGCTTTACCCGCTACGCCACAGCACTGGCCCCAACAATGACATACTTTCAATTTTCTTTATAATCATAAGCTTAATCATCCACTATAAATAAAGAATTCAACAAGTAGTAGTAAGTAGAAAAACCACTGTTCCTCAAGAGTATAGACAAGGACTATAACCAATAATCACACCTCAAAAGGTCACTTTTGATCATTTACTTATATTTTGTGTGCTCTGTATATTAGTTACCACAAATCAGGGAAAATATGTGATATGTGTCTTTTTGGTACTGGCTTCATTCACTGAGCATTAACAGCCTCCAGTTAGATCCACTTTGTTGCGAAAGACAGGATTTCACTCTTTTTTGCAGCTAAGTAGTATTCCATTGCATAACTATAGCATGATTTCTTTATCCAGTCATCAGCTGATGGACATCTGGGTTGATTAATCAACTTCAATATTGAACCAAAGCATTCTTTGTAAATAAAATTTCCATAGCATTTTTGATAAAAATGTATATCTATCACAAAATCACCAATAAATTCTAAAGTTAGACATCAATTCCTTGCTGAAAACTGCAATACTTTTTGTCCTTTTCTCATAATCTGTATAGTAAAATTACTGTGGTCACTAACGCACCAAATTTGTTACTGAAGTACATATTCCTCAAAATACTTGATACCTTACTTGCAGAAAGCATTCAATATCTAATCAGCTAATAAGATAACTAATATACAATATAAATATATTAATATTTAATTGGACTAACACATGACCAGAATTTAAGGGTTTTTTTTTACAAAATTTATTTATTTGAAAGGCACAGTGAGAGAAAGAGAGAGAAAGAGTGATGGATCGAGATCTACCATCTACTGGTTCACTCCCCAAATGCCCTCAATGGCTAAGGCTGGGCCAGGCAGAAGCCAGAAGCCAGACCAGGCCACCCAGGTCTTCCACAAGGGTGGCAGGTGCCCAAGCACTTGGGCCATCTTCTGCTGCTTTCCCAGGTGCTATAGCTGGGAGCTCAATGGGAAGTGAAGCAGCTGAGACTCAAATCAGTGTTTTGACATGTCAGCATCACAAGTGGTAGCTTAACCCTCAGTGCCACAATACTGGCCCCAGGATTTAAGTTCTTAAATTCTTATTTTTTAAAAAAGCTTTATTTATTTTATCTGAAAGGCAAAGCTACAGAGAAGGAGACAGAGAGATTATCTTCCACCCGCTGGTTCACTCCCCAAATGACCACAATAGCCAGGGTGGACCAAGCCCAAAGCCAAGAGCTTCATCTCCCATGTGAGTACAAGGGCCCAAGCACTTGGGCCATCTTCTGCTACTTTCCCAGGTGCATTAACAAGGAGCTGGATCTGAAGTGGAGCAGCTGAGACTCAAACCAGCATCCATATTGGATGCCAGCACTACAGATGGCAGCTTTACCTACTATGCCACAGAGCTGGCCCCTAAGTCCTTAAATTCTATGTAGAAAAGGACATAGCCCACTTCAAGGTAGTTAACTCCAGTAAACCCAATGCGTAACTTCTTTCTAAACCTCTAGATTTTTTAAACATTTACTCATTTGAGAGGCAGAGATACAGACACAGACAGAGCTCCCATCCACAGTTCACTAAAAAGCGGCGCCCACAACGGCTGAGGCTAGGCTGGAGCTAAAGCAGGAGTGCTGTCCACATCTCCATCTGACAGGAACCCAACTCCTTGAGCCAACACCACTGCCTCCCAAAATCTGTATTAGCAGGAAGCTGGAATAAGGAGCTGGGCTCAGTATCAAACCCAAACACTCCAATGTGGGATGTAGACATCTTAACCAATCTCTTAACTACTAGGGTGAACACCTTCCTCAAATTGTCTAGATTTTTAAGGCCTTATAGATTACTGTGATTAACAACAGTATTAAAATAAAAACTAGAATTCTTACATTCACAAACATTAAAAAAATAATCCTGTATATTTAAATTTTTTAAATTATTATTTATTTCATTGCATTGAAAAGGCACAGAGAGGGGTACAGGGAGAGGGAAAGAGAGAGGGAGGGAGGGAAAGACAGACAGAGATCTTCCATCTGTTGATTCATTCCCCAAATGCCTGCGATAGCTGGGCCTGGGCCATGCCCAAACCTGGTGCCCAGAACACAATCTGAGTCTCCCATAGCAATGGCTGGGACCCAAGCCCCTGAGCCATCACCTGCTGCCTCCCAGGCTGTACATTAGCAGGAAGGTGAAAAGAGATGTAGAAACAGGACTCAAACCCAGGCATTTCTGCCCTTAGTACACTGGGTAGGATTCCGAATTAGCATCATTTCCATAAGCCCAAAAGGTCTTTAAACAGTAGCTCTCAGTTTTTAAGTGGTAGTTGTAGTGGTGGGATCACAGATTTCTTTGAAAAATCTAATGATTCTTTGATTTTTAATTCTGTGGTTTACCGATTCTTGTAATCAAAGCTCAACACTGAACCCTGTGTTAGTCATCTGCCTTAAATAAAGAGTTTTTGATGCTGCATTTAGAATACTTTGTAGGTTCCAGCCATTCCTATAGTCAAAAGGGGAACAAGACAAGATGAGTTTTAACAAAATAAAAACTAGCAAGAGCCCATAAATGACACAGAATTTGATATAGATCTATCTGCTGATGATTGAACTACGAACACAAAGGCTTGCCACGACTTGAGAGGTAACGTCTTGTAGAAAAGCTCAAAGCTTCTAAATGCATTTTACCTGAAGGAGAATACCTAAGTACCGATGAGAACTTTAACATTCATGCTCTAAGTTACTGGATCAAAGGCAGAAAATGCTCAAGAGAACTGAATGTGATCTCAAGAAATCGAAGCCTGGCAACAGGAGAGCTGACCACAGAGCAGTACCAGAACACCTGGATACTGCGTCAACACTGCCCTGCACCTACACATATCAGGGTCTGTAAGGGGACATGGGGCACATGGTATTAAGCACATTTTAACATTTCATACTGGAGGGGAAAATACCAGTGACTGAACCAGCACTTGAACACAGCTAGTCTGACTCAATCCTGTACTATTTCCTTAAGTGCTGCATTGGTTCTGGTACCATCTCAGTCACAAAACTAAAAAAGTATTTGTCTTGTGTAAGTCAATTAATACAAAATTAACAGAGCAAAGTCACAAATAATCAGGAAAACAGCAACTACTTACGCAAAAACTGGTCTAACAGCATTATTCATATTCCCAAAAGTCGCTCTACCCAGCAATTCTCTGAAACAGCTCTCGGCCAGCACAGCAGGATTCTCCTCTTTATCAGCTGCAGAAGGAGAAGAAGGAGGGCCCAGGCGACTGACAAAGAAAGAGAAATGATGGTATTAGTTCTAACAGTTAAACGGAATACACTTGACTTCTCAGAATTGTTAAGATGATATTTGGTTTTTAAAGCTAAATTCTAACATGAATTTAACACCAACAAAGCTAATTACACCATCTTTCAAATAAGAACAAAATTCAGCTTTGTAACCTGTTTCCAACTAACAGAATTTCCCTCATATAGGTAAAGCGCTCAGCAGCTTGCTATATGTTCACTCTGACACAATTTCTACCTTACAGCAAACGTTTAGCAAGAACACCTTCAGGTGTCCCTAGTTTAAGTGCAAATGGGTAAAAATAAAATGAAGTTAAAAACTATGCTACAGCTTGTGACTAAAAAGTAAATTACTGAACAGTAGGGTCACTACAATTAATAATACTGCATTGAATATTGAATACTTCAAAATAACTACAAGGAACGATTTTAATGTTCTCACTATAAAGAAAAGATAAAAATATGAAATGAAGTATATACCAACTACCTTGATCTGATTTTTACACAATGTGTACATGTACTAAAATAATAAACTATATATCCCCAAGTATGTAAATTGGTACATACCAATTAAAAACAAAATTAATAAAAAACTTCAGTTACAACATCTGTATATGTATGTATGTAAAACATCTGCATATGTAGATGTCTTCGGTATACAGTATTTGTTTTGTTCAGCTCTTGAAACATGATTTTAGGTTAATGTATTCATGTGCAATAATAATAATAAGGCCTATCTATGGCATTTGGAATTATATTGTGAAAAACCGCAATTTGTTAAGATTCAGCAACTAATATTTTTTCTCTTATGCTAACCCTGGACTTCAATATTCATATTTATGGGAAATGAGTTCCCAACTAGCTAGCAACCTTTTAAATTATAAATATTTTAGATGGGGAAACTTAAGCCTCAGCAACAGTGCCAAGAATAAGAAACATACAGAAGGTGTTAAAATACACCAAGTCTCATACTTTAGAAAAGGACTAAAGCTGGAAACAGTCATGTCTAAGGAATTAAGCATAAATCCATCCTGTAATTTGCATAACTTTCATAGATATATAAATTCAATCACAGCATTATCTTTACATCTCATTTTTAGACCAGTAGGAAGGTCAAGATAACAGGTCAAATTGGAGATTTTGCATCTGAAGCCTAATCAACCACGTATTATCTATGTGTGTAGCAACAGAAATGCAGAGCAAAAGCATGCTTCTGGCATTTGAAAAAGTGAAATACAGTACAGAATTCTAAGTGCAACTGAATGGGGCTGTGTGAAACAGAAAATCAACATACATCCAAAAAGAATATTCCATTCTGAAATCAATCAGAAATGAAGTGCATCTAAACTTTTTGTTGAAAAAAAAATGAGTAGCAATTATCATTATTATTATCATTATTTTGGTTCTTTGTAGTTCCCTATGAGAAAGCATGCTGGATCCTTAAAGAATAACAGAAGTTCAGCTATAATTTATATTTCTCACATCTGAAACTTTAGGTAGTATTAACTAAACAACAATTCTGATGCTCAATAATAAGCAAGAAGTATAAACTTACTCTAATAAGAAATAAAGGCCAAGAGCACAAGCAGGAATCTGTGGTGCGCTAAGTCTAACGTGCTCATTAGGATAAATAATTGCTCCAGAAAGGAACACATATTTAAACTCATGCAACTTTACAAGACTACCACTTTAATCTTACTAAAGACAAAACTTACTGAGCAAGCACACATGTTAAGTAACAGCCTCAGCTCTAACATCTTTATTAATACCTGTCAACTTCTTCTATCTTTTGCATGTTAAACAGGAGGGATGGAACAATCTTATCCATATGCTGAGGTTCCCAGATGGTTGCCCGAAGTTCATCATTAACTGTTTTGCGAACCACACCTTGAATACCCCTGATTCCAGCAATTCGGATTCTATTCACCAAATAGAAAAATAAATGAACCATGAAAAAGTTATTTGAACAAGTCTGTTTGCCAACTAAAGAATGAATGTCAAGTACATATTGTTATCTTAATATTTTTATCTTAACAAAATATCTTAAAATAACATGTGGTAATTCTAAGAAATTAAAATTTCAAAAATCTAAGATGGATGCAGAGATTGATTATTCCAAAGACTTTGAAAATCACCCTTTTAAAACCAGAATTTATAATCACTCCACAATGTATTCATTTTTTTAAAAGAATTATTTTATTTATTTGAAAGAGTTACAGAGAGAGGTAAAGCCAGAGACAAAGAAAGAGAGAGAGGTCTTCCATCCACTGGTTCACTCCCCAAATGACCGCAACGCCAGAGCTGAGCTGGTTGGAAGTCAGGAGCCAGGAACTTCTTCCAGGTCTCCACTGAGGGTGAGACCCGGGCCCAAGGACTTGGGCCATCTTCTACTGCAGGTGAAGGGGCCTAAGGACTTGGGTCATCCTCCACTGCTTTCCCAGGCCATACCAGAGAGCAGGATCGTAACAGGAGCAGCCAGGACTCGAACCGGCGCCTAAATGGGATGCCGGCACTGCAGGCTGGGGCTTTAACCCACTGCATCACAGTGCCGGTCCCTCCACAATGTATACATTTACTGAAATATCACTGCAACCCATATGTGTAACTGCTAATAAAAATCTTAAAAATATGTAAGACAGAAACAATCTGATTTCATCAATACACATAGTTAAATGTATTAAATTATCACACTGTACCAAAAATATGTATAATTAAAATTTTAAAATTGTTTGGGAGATTTAATTATTTGAAATTCATAATGACAGCGAGGCAGGGACAGACAGAGAATGAGATACTCCATTTGCTGGTTTATCCCCAGATGCCTGGAATAGCTGGGCCAGGCCAGGCTGAAGTCAGGAGCCAGGAAATCTAAGTCTCCCACGTGGGCAGCAGGGACCCAAGTACTTGGGTTATCATCTGCTACCTCCAGGCACACTATCAAGAAGATGGATCAGAAGCAGAGGGAAGACTCAACTCCAGGCACTCTAAAATGGGATGCAGGAGTCCCAAGCTGCAGTTTAACCCATAGTACCACAATGCTTATCCCTAAAATATTTTTAAAAATTTAAAAAGACATAAAAACACAGCTCAGAAACATTACAAAATATAGACATGTACTTCATGTATCATAGGTTTTCCTATGATGATGATAATCATCTTAATAATTGAATTAAGAGTCTTTCCACTTCTGGCCTGTAAGTAAAAGCTGACAGAATCTCACTGTTCCTGTTACACCCTGCCTGCTTCTGCAGACTGTTCTCACTGGTCTTCCCTAAGAGTCTCTTATCTCCCACAGTCTGTCTAGAAAGAAGACTAAGGTGGTCCTTTTAAAGGTAAGGCAAATAAGCACCATCAAAATGTAATAGATATCTCAGCCATAAATATACATATATTTATGTATAAATACATATATTTTAAAGATTTATTTGAAAGTCATAGTTATACAGAGAGAGGAGAGGCAGAGAGAGAGAGAGGTCTTCTGTCCAGCTGGTTCACTCCCCAGTTGGCCGCACAGCTGGAGCTATACCAATCCAAAGCCAGAAGCCAGGAGCCAGGAGCTTCTTCTAGGTCGCCCACATGGGTGCAGGGCCCAAGGACTTGGGCCATCTTCTACTGCTTTCCATATCAGAGAGCTGGATCAGAAGTGCAGCAGCCAGGACTCGAACAGGTGCCCATATGGGATGCCGGCACTGCAGGCGGCAGCTTTACCTACTACGCCACAGCGCCAGCCCCTGAATATATATCTTAAACTGATCAATATAGTGAGCAAATGCTGCCTACTCTCCTCTCCCAGTTCACAGCCCCCAACTTCCTCACAAACATCTGTAGGCTCAGAAGGAGAGACTAGTAGAATGAAACAGCTTACAGAAGCTGTGGAAGAACAGGCTCCAGCACACCTAATCTGGTGGCCCACTTGTTTCAAAAACATCTTCCTTCTAGCCCTATCTGACTGCTATTTACTTCTTTGTGTGTGAGGGGGGGGGAGTGAGCCACCTGAAATACTCACCAATGAAGAGGTTTATTCACCCTACCTAGCATTGTCTTCCAAAAGCTGCTCAATGGCAGATATGGGGGAGGGGTGACAGTGCTTTCCAACCCTACAGAGAAGTAACACAAGCATTCAGGGGCAGCAAACACAGAAGAGGAGGTGGCAGCAACAGGAGACTGCAGAGGTGAAGAAAAGGAATCAGAAGACATGAAGACAAATACTGCTAGTTCCAAAGTAGCACATGTATCCACAGTTTTCTAATAGGTAAAGACATCTTGAAAGATTATTGCACGCTATCGTAAGAGGGCAAAGCTGACAGCACTACAGAAACAAGCTTGCTTCACTTGTTGCTACTACTCTTTCTTGTGACAAGAAAGCACAAGGTGCAGAGCACACGTAAGCAAACAAGACGACACATGGAGTAGCAGCACAGGTGGCGCCTGTGTTTGGGGTGAGGGTGGAAAGGGTGTGCAGCCATAACTCCAAAAAGATTTTAGTTTCCATCAGTAATATGGAACAATTATACCTACCACATAGGAATGTCATAAAATTTAAACGAGTTAATGTAGTAAAGTGCTTAAATAATTAGCATGATGATAAGCATTATCTCCATCACAGCCAAAGGGAACCCTTTCTGCAAGGCAATTTTAAGAAAATCTGAATAGTTGCCAGCCCCATTTAATAAAGATTTGCCAAAACTAAAAGGACTGATAAGTATCTAAGTGAAAACCTAAATGAGGATACAAACACACCCAAAGAAAACCATATGAGCTTTTATTTCAGGAAAATGAGAAAATGGGACCAGTGTTGCAGTACAGTGGGTTAAGCTACTACTTGTGATGACAACATCCCATATCAGAGTGCAGATTTGAGCCCCCGCTGCTCCACTTCCAATTCGGTTTCCTGTTAACGTGCATGGGGAAGACAGTGGAATTGGCCCACGTGCTTGGGGTCCTACCGCCCATGTGGAGACCTGTATGGGTTCCTATCTCCAGGCTTTGGACTGACCCAGACCTGGCTGTTGCAGTCATTTGGAGAATGAACCAGCAAATGCAAGATCGTGTGAGTGCTCTTTTACTCGCTCACTCTCTGTCTGGCTCTGCTTTTTAAATAAATAAATAAATAAGTATATAATTTTTTTTTAAAGAATCAAGCCCTCTAAGATGTTAGAGTATTTTAGTTTATTCATTTGTTCTACAGTGATTAAAAAAATGCTGGCATTTAGGAACTTCAAATATAACATAATACTAGAGAGACCTATAATTAGGAATCTTTCATTTGGATATAGGAAATTTCAAGTTTCTTTTTGTAAATATTAATGAAGACCTTTATGTGAAAATATATTCATAAGATATTTCAGGAGCGGGTGATAAACACCTAAGTATATAAGCTCACTTAAGTCACAAAATTTTTGAAATGTACTCTTTTATAAATTATTATGGATATCAGAAACACTTTTTATCTACAGTGGTTTATATGTGAAATTCACTTTAGCCAAAATTTAAGAAGCGCCTGCCTATTTTAATAATCCTCATAATACTAAAGAAATGCATACAACATTCTATTTTCTGTATTTTAAAAGAAAGCAAAACTTTTAAAATCTTGGGGGAAAATGCCATTTTCTTTGCCTAATTTCATTATCTGTTTTGCCCTATTAACAATTTAATAATTTGCCTTTGAGAAGAGAGAACATTTTATACAATATTTTTAAATGTCCTTGAGGGAGGGAAATAAAAAAAAAGGGGGTTTAACTGGGATAATTAGGAGATTTATTCTTACAAGGTAATTATACTACCCCACATCTAAGGCTTTATACTTCGTAATAAAGGGATAACAGCAGTACTGTGTGTGACCTGCATTACTACTTTATACTGAGGAAAACATAACACTAATAGCATCACAGAAACGAATCTTTTATCTGAAAATAATTATCAAAACACCTTTCAGCTTTCTTTCTCCAACTTAAAAAAATAATTTGTATTTGTTTCCATTTATGTAAACCAAACATGTAGCTTGCATATTTCTTTATTTATTTTAAAAGTAAAATTACAAATCAAACTAAGTTTTGATTATCAGGTCTTGATTACTGACTGTCCATGATAACCCTCTGAATTCAGGCTGACTTCTTTCTGTTTAGGTGTATTAAAGTCATACTGAGACTACTTCCTGTATTTACCAAGGTTGTTTTGGCTTTGAAGTTTCTCATTGATACACAGATATCAACCTCTAGATTGTGTCTGCAGGTAGGCATTTTGTTTCAGATTTTTACTAGGATATATCTAAAAGAAATGTTCAAAAATGTCCCAGCCAGTTGTCACAACTGTCAGACTAGCAATGATTCAGTAGTATTCACTCATTTTGCTGATTTATTCATTCTAGAAGTGCTTACACGGGGCCCTACATGTGCCAGACACTATTTAAAGTGCTAGTGATACATCAGTCATCAGAACAAGGACCGAAGGGCCTCCACTGCAGCTCAGGGGGTGAAGCTGCCACTTGTGATGCAAGCACTTCATTTGGGCACTGGCTCACGTCTGGGTGCCCACTTCCAATCTAGTTCCCTGCTAATGGCCTGGGAAGAGCAGCGGAAGATGGTCCAAGTGCTTGGGCCCCTGCTACCCCCACGGGAGACCTGAAAAAGGCTCTTGGCTCCCAGCTTCATCCTGGCTGTTGTGGCCACCTGGGGAATGAATAAATGGATGGATGGAAGATCTCTCTCTGTCTCTCCTTATCTCTTTAACTCTATCAGATAAAATAAATCATAAAAAAAGAAAGAAAAAGTCCTCGCTTTCCTGGAATTTATATTCCAGGGAGCAACAGACAAAGAGATATATAATGAAGATAATGAATGGTAGGAGCTAATATCTCATAAAAGGTGGTAAGGAGAGCATGATAACATGATATTTGAGCAGAAATCTGAACCAAACTGAAGCAACAAGCCACTTGGGTTTCTGGGGGAACTGTTCTAGGCACCAAGAGCAATGTGCCCACGTGCCTTGAGGAGAAATACGTCTACAGAGTGCAAGAAACAGCAAGGACACCCATGCAACTACATTAGAGTCCCTGCAGGAGGAAACGACAGAATGGCAGAATTGGAGATGAGTGGCGGGGAATGAAGGGACATTCTCTGGCAAAGATCCTGACTTTTCAGGAGTGATTTGGGAAACCACTGTAACTGTGCTGCTTCAGCTGGCCATTATATCTTCAAACAGAAACCAAAGGCCACACTTCAGCCATACCTCTTTTCCTTTCATAATCATTATGGAATCTGTAAACATGTTATTTATCAATAAAGAACTCCATCAATTACTATACATCATAAAGTAAAATAATACATACTCTGTTCGTATTTCTGGATCACTATGACAGGAATGACACATGGCACTAAATCGAGACACAAAAAAGTCATAACGCCTGTGATAAGATGGTGTATCTTCTTCAATATTTGCAAATTTCACAAACTGAAAGACAAAAACATCAACATAAGCAAAATCTGGAACTGTGAAACAAATACATTTATTTTCACTTATTATTTAACAAGCAACATCCAAATAAAAATCAAATGAAATACATGAAACAATCAGCGAAAATATTTCTCTCTCTCTCCCCTCTAGCCTTTCAAGTAGATGAAAATACACGTTTTTTAAAAACTGACACAAAAATAGTCATTTTAACTCCATTTTCCAAACTTTCTAATGTACCCTCATGTATAGAAAGGAATTTTTAAATAATGAACTTCTATAAAATCAAGGATATTACATTCTGAACATTAGCTATAATTTTGCAATTCAGTTCCTTTTGGAGAATGAGCCCACTCTCTAAAAGCAGGGATCTTACTGCAAAGTTCTTTTGCATTTCCTGGACGCTGACACTGCTTCAATGATGAACTTGGGCCATACCTCTAGGGAATACAATTTCTTAATAGTGGGTAGAAATCTTCCTAGACAGTTGTACAAAACATATGAATGCATAAAACTTACACAAAAAAGAGGAGACAAAGGGTACATAAACTGAAGGAAATCATGACAAATTCAAGTGACAAGAAAAATCCTGAAATGGTAGAATTTGTTCTGTCTTCTTTGTAATGATCAAAAAGAGATACATTATATTTAGGAAATTTTAAATATCCTCACATATGTCATATCCCTTGGCTCCTAGGATTCCTTGATATGCACTCTCTTTTATCATTAGCTTTCTTGTTAATTTGGTGATTTGTAACAAACTGTTTACTTGCAAATTTAATATGTATCTGCCAGGATATAATTAGATAGTTTTAAAAGACTGTATCCAGGCCGGCGCTGTGGCTCACTAGGCTAATCCTCCGCCTAGCGGCGCCGGCACACCGGGTTCTAATCCCGGTTAGGCACCGTATTCTGTCCCGGTTGCTCCTCTTCCAGGCCAGCTCTCTGCTGTGGCCAGGGAGTGCAGTGGAGGATGGCCCAAGTGCTTGGGCCCTGCACCCCATGGGAGACCAGGAGAAGCACCTGGCTCCTGCCATCGGATCAGCGCGGTGCGCCGGCCGCGGCGGCCATTGGAGGGTGAACCAATGGCAAAGGAAGACAAAGGAAGACCTTTCTCTCTGTCTCTCTCTCTCTCACTGTCCACTCTGCCTGTCAAAAAATAAAAATAAAAAAAAGATTTAAAAAAAAAAAAAAGACTGTATCCAAAAGAATTACTCAACCAGAGTATCAACATAAAATTACTAATCTGTTAGAAACAAAACTGAAATAAGCATAGAATAAGCACAAAAATACAAAATTATGACACCAAAAAGGTTTTAAACTCAGCTAGAACTAGGGCTCTTGTTCAAAATTATAAATTTATATCATTCATATTATTTAGAAAGGACCAAGAAACTATCCACACTACATCTGGCTCAGGTTAAACTGCGATCCACTAAATATTCTGCAACACATACTGTGCTAGGTAGGTGTTTCCACACGAGTTCTTACTAATCACTTCAACATCCTGCACAGGGTGTGCCGTTATCCCCATTTCACAGATTCAGAGATTAAGTCGTCATCCAAAACAAAAGGCACCACGGTCAAGAGGTGTGATAAACTTTTTTTTCTTTTTAAGGTTTATTTATTTATTTGAAAGTCAGAGTTACAGAGAGGGAGAGGCAGAAAGAGATCTTCCATCCAGTGGTTCACTCCCAGATGGTCACAATAGGTGGCACTGGGCCAGGCTGAAGCCAGGAGGCAGAGCTTCATTCCAGTCTCCCACATTGGTGGCAGGAGCCCATGCAACACCTGACCCATCTTTTGCTGCTTTTCCCAGGCCATTAGCAGGGAGGTGGACTGGAAGTAGAACAGCCAGGACACGACCAGTGCCCACACAGGATGCTGGTGTCACAGGCAGCTGCTTTACCAAACACTATGCCATAATGCCAGCCCCAGTTTCCAATTTTCAAGAATCTCAATCTACATACCAAACATGGGTAATTTCAGAAAATACTAAACCAAATACTTATGTTTTTGATAAAAATGAACCCTGAGGGGCCAGCACTGGGGCACAGCAGTTTAAAGCCCTGGCCTGAAGCGCCAGACATCATTGGGCAGCAAGTTAAGCAGCCACTTAATTTGGGAAGTCTGCATCCCAGTTCAAATCCCAGCTATTCCACTTCCAATTCAGCTTCCTGCTAATACATGGGAAAGCAGTGGAGGATGGTCTGAGTGCTTGGGCCCTGCCATGCATGTGGGAGACCCAGATGGAGTTCCTGGCCTCAGACTGGCCAAGCCCTGGTTGCTGTGACCACTTAAGGAGTAAATCAGAGGATGGAAGACATCGATATCTCTATTCATCTATGTATCTCCCTCCCTTTCAAATAAATAATAAATCTTCAACAAGTTGAAAAAAATTAAGAAGAGGTAAGAATAAAATGTATATCTCGCACAATTTTCCCAACAAAGAAGAGTCTACAAAAACTTCATAAACTACTGCCATACTGGGTGGGTCAGCACAGAGAGGCAAATATCAAAAAACTGAAATAACATGTACAAAGACCACTAATAAATCTAAAAATATTAAATCTTAAGTATTGGTCATATTTAACATAGGGCACTTAGCAACACTAAGAAATTAATACAAGGTTAGCCAAGATAAGACAGCATTTACTTAATATAATTTACTCAAAGCAGATAACTGAAGAATTTATCTTGTTGCCCAAATGATGCATTAAAATGGTACATATACACTGCTGGTTACAAATAAAGAAATTTCTGACAATATACACTAAAACTCCTCCCCCACCACTACTAAAACATTTCTCCTAAGCTTTCCTTGCCTAACTATAAAGGAAACAGGAGAAGTTTAAGCCACCTTGCTGGAAACAAAACCCGCTGCACTGCCTAATTGCATTTAGAAAACCCCATCGTTCCCCTTAGAAATGAATGGAAAAAAATCATACTAAGGGTTTCTGGATGAGGATTTTATTTACACACTTTGGCATTTTTAACAATCTAATACTGATAAGGACTTCAGTGGCCCCTAGAAAAGGAATGCAAAACATAGAAAAGAGAAAAAAACACACCATGTACTCTCCGGGCGTCCTGAGGATGGGAGTCTGTAATGTTAAGATGTTGGTGAGTCTGCCAAATTGACCTGATTGAGCACTCTGAACACTTCCCTGCAAAACAGGCTACTCCAATGTCAGCTCCCTGATTGGTTCATGTGGCATGTCTCATTAGCATACACTTTCAGTTCCCTGATTGGTTGTTATTCTGACCTCCTGATCAGCTGTTATTCTGCCTCTCCACTGATTGGTTAGATATCTACTCACTTCTCAGAAAGGGGCTAATCAGAGACACACACTTTGTGTACGAAAGAGCCAGCACTTGCAAGCTTCTCTGGCAACTCCTCCCTTGTGTCTCCCTCCTGACTGCTGCATCAGGAGGCTTCTTGCTTTCAGTAAACTTCACTTTGCTTACTGTCCCTGTCCACACAGAAATTCTTCTTTGGTATGAGAGAAGAACTGATATCACTCTCCTCATCCCACAACACTACCACCAGTACTAACAGAACAGTGCCATGTATTCCTCTAAGAGCTTCACATATATTACATGTCAAACAACAATCATTTAAGACTGGTACTACTGCTATATTCACTTCACGGATAAAAAACTGTGGCAAGGGGGAATTAAATAACTTGCCAAAGATAACCAACCCCAAAGCAGTGCAGGCTCGATTCAAATCAGAGCTATCAGACTCTAATCCACACTGGCAGTCACTACTATACTTCCTCTTCCTGTATCAGAACATAATTATTCAGAAACAATAGCAGGTGATATATGATTTTATTAGTTGTTAATATCTGAATGGGGATATATAGTGATAAAACAAAAACATAAGCCTCAGCCATTCTTGCTCATTGCCCAAAAGATAAACACTGGATGTATGTATCCCTTGCCCTTGAATCTCAATTGGGTCTCATATCCTATCGCCTTCATACCCAGCTCCCAAGGCCACCTGAAAGACCTACCAGTCCCAGGAATTCCCCTCAGCCTGCTGTCTCTTACCCCAGCCCCACTACAATATAAAAAGGCCCAGCCCCTGGGGGACGGGGCCTTCTGCCACGTGTTCCATCATGGGCACGCAGGCAGTTGGTCACCCACCTCTGTGAATTCATTTTCTCTGAATAAATTCAGTCTGGCTATAAATTCATACACTGCCTCCTCTCTATTCTGACCTCTTTTCCTGACATTTATGGTGCCCCGTGTGAGCAGGCACCAATCTGCAACTCTTTTCCTAACATATAGTATTCATGTAGGAAGAATTCCTTAATGCTTCCTCAGAATGAAGCTGGAATGGAAAGACTGAAGGTTATACAATGAAATTAAACCTTATCTGTATTTTATTTTCCTCTTTAGGTACGTATGCCTTCCTTAACCTCACATATGTTCAATACACTATGGTTCAGGATAAAAGAAATGGATATGGCAAGGAGAACTAGGTCAGACGTCTAAGGAGGAATGAAGATATTATTAATCCCTACACTCATGCTTAATTGATTTTCCAAAGTGTTCCACCTCCATTCAATGGGGAAAGAATAGTCTGTTCAACAAACAGTAATGTGACAACTGAGTACCTCTAAACAAACTGTGGATAAAGCTGAACCTCTAATTTACATCAAATACAAAAATTAACTCAGGAAGAGTAATAGACCTAAAAAGTATAAAACTTTAGATTTACAAAAGGAGTAAATCCTTATGACCTTGGATTAGGCAATCACTTCTTATATGTAAGATTAAAAGCACAAAAGAAAAAAAAATCAACTGAACTTCATCAAAATTAAGAATATCAGTGATTTAAAGCATACCATAAAGAATGACAAAAGCTATGATAGAACAGGAAAAATATTTGCAAATCATGTATCTGATGGAGGACTGACATCAAGAATATATAAAGAATTTTAAAACTCAACAATGAACACAATCTAATCAAAAGTTGAACAAAGTGTCTGAAAGAGGTTTTTCTGAAGAAGATATACAAATAATCAACCAGCACACACAAGGAAGTTTCAGTATCACTAGTCACTAGGGAAATGAAGATCAACGTCACCAGGAGATCCCACTTCAGAACCTCTGTGAAGACCACAAGCAGTAACAAGTATCAGCAAGGACACGGAGAAACTGGAACATGCAATGCTGGTGGGAATGTAAAATAATGCAGCTACTAGGGAAAACACTGATTCACCACAGGACACAGCAATTACACTGCTAAGTCTGCACAACAAAAACATGTTCATACATAAGGTTGTAAACGAATGTTCATAACAGCAATATTCATACTGGCCAACAAGTGGAAACAATTCTAATGCCCAAGACTGATGAGCGGTTAAATATAGTGTATTCATACCATGGAATATCAGACATAAAAAGGAATAAGGTACTAATATATGCCATCACATGAATAACCCTTAGCAACATTAGGCTACTTTAAAGAATTCTGACCAAAAGATTGTATAATGGATGGTTCCATTTATTTAAAATGTTCAGAATAGGCAAATCCATAGACAGAAAGTAAATCAGTCAATTCCAGAGACAAGGAGAGAAGTGAATGGGGTGATAAATACATAATTCTGTGAAGATAATAAAAAGCAATGAACTCTATACTTTAAATGGATGAGCTCTATGGTACATGAATTACATCCAAAAACAGAAACTATAATATTTGAAGATACAAAATAGAAATTCAGGAGTAGGATTCAAAGTTAGTGTTGTAACAGCCAATCCAAAGAAAATTAAGACGTAGGCACAGATTCATGTACAGGCAGATATTCCATTATGATTAGTTAATATTATAAGGAGCAGGAGAAAAAGTTAATCATCTTCATTAATACTAATTGCTAAATTACCCTGCCCAAGGAATTTGCCTTTATCAGGTAAAGACATTCTAAGAAGAGATGATTCTAAATATGCTAATTAAAATTAAGAGAATACTTTTACTCACAGAATTTGTCCCAAGAACTTGCAGCTTTGGTTCCCCTGATTCCAGCAGCTTTGCCACCATATGAAGAAAGCTTTCTACAAATGGTTTGATGCTTTGAGAATGGCAAGCCATGAGAAGCTGGTCCAGTGCCTCCATAGCAATTAAAACATACCTGAGGATAAAAAATGATGGCAAACATTTCTAGCTGCTTTAATTCCAAGTGCTTTTCACTGGAATCTTAATTAATATATAGCAGTAATGATCTTAAGATTATAAAATAATCCTCACAAAACCTGAACTACTCCATTTTCCCTTCTTAAAATAATGCTTTCATAGCTGCTTCAACTTTGCAAGCTTTGTGTGTTGTCTTTTCTTTGTATTTTCCAGACTTTCAAGCATATGTATTTATATCTGTTTCAAAATAATTATTAAAGCAACATCCCTAAATCCCTCACATAAGCTACTATATTTGTAAACATGAGTTAACCAAACAGCAGCAGCAACCACATTCTACTATATGAAAATGTCTCACAAATTTTACTTCTTTCAGATTTTAAATCTTGCATTAAAAATTAAAATTCACTCTTTAGGTAATTTTCCTTCAAAATCAACGATAAAACTCTGCCTTGACCCAGTAAAATGGTCTAAATTTTACTAAACAATGTTGAGGTGCAGCAAACACATTTATCACTTGGAGAATTAAGTACTCCAAGATCATATATTTATAGTATTAGCAAAAATATTATCCAAGTTGCACAGTTACTACCATTCAAGCACAGAGATTAGATGAAGATGATGGACTTCAATTTAGAGAGAGGAATACAGCCAGCACAGCACTCCTTCCCACATTGGTATCTCAGCCTAACATGGTTCTCTCTTATTATTCCTCTAAGGGGCAAAACCGAAGTTGGGATCTTTGTTTTCTTTTTGAATCTAGAGGCTGATTTTTAAATTATAGTATAGCACTGAAAGACTAAGGCAGTCAATTTCCAATACTTCCCACTAGAAAATCTCAGAAATTACTGGAGAGTTACACTGAAGCAACTCTTAACTAACTTGAGCTTTTGTTTTTGTTTTTTACAAAATCTGACCACCACCAGGAAAGTAATAAAAGCTGCAGCATCTATGTAGGTACCACACATTTCTTTGTATAATATTACAGTATTTTATCTCCAAATACTGTCTCTGCCTGGCTAGATGACATAATAATTTACTGTACAACTTAGCCTAGGGAGGATTTTCTGAAGAGACTACATTAGCAGCAATCAGCTCCCTTACCCGGAGCGATGTCTGACAACATCCCTGCTCAATCTTTCTGCCAGGTAAGCACCAATTCGATCCAACTTCTCTGGAGCAGATACTGCATAAAATGTCAATTTCTCCATATCAGCTTTAACAAGGCCATCCTAAAAGTAAAAACAGCAAGAGTAAGATAACAAAGTCATCCACATTTTAAAGCTTGCTTATTTACTTATTTGTTTTGGTTTTAAGTGTTGCCTTCTTCACACTTCCCCCTGGAGATTTATCCATATTTATGCTAAAACATTGTGAATATCATCTCCTCAGTTCTAACATTCACCATCCTGGACACACAGAACCTTTCAAAATTTAAGGAAATGTCTCAGTAGGCAAAGCATTTAAACGGATAGTCACAAACAATGAATGAGACACTATAACACTTTCCTTTATAGAGAAATGCCCAATGAACTGCAGTATGCAGGAACTAGGATATATTTTAGAGAAAAGATTTCAAACAAAATTTGTTTCAATTTAAAAATGTTTTAAATGTTGTATTAAGCCTATTTTACCCCTTTAAAAATAGTGAACATGCTGTGTTTTTAATGATTCAGAATTTGCTGATATCATTATAGACTTTTGTTGTAGTTAACAAACGAGACAGCATTCAGAATTGTATGAATGTATGTTACTCAGTGTATTGAAAAATATCAACAAGTCTGATACAGAATTGTGAACTGTCACCGATCTCCATCCTCTGAAACATGACATACAGCAGATCTAATGAGTCTTCTACCTTCACAGCACTCTGGCATGCTGTGGTATAGTGGATAAAGCTGCCATCTGTGGCACTGGTATCCCACAAGGGCAGTGGTTCAAGTCCTGGCTGCTCCATTTCCAATCTAGCTCCCTGCTAATGTGTCTGGGAAAGCAGCAGAAAACGGCTCAAGTGTTTGGGCCCCTGCATCCACATGAGAGATCCGGGACACGCTCTTGGTTTCGATTTGGCCCAGCTCTGGCCATTGCAGCCATTTGGGGAGTGAACCAATGGATGGAAGACCTGTCTGTCTCTTTCTGTAATTCTTTCAAATAAATAAATAAATCTTAAAAAAACAAAACCAAACAAACAATCTCCCACTTTCTCAGTGTCCTCTTAGCCAGTCAGTTTCCCCCAGGGGTGACTTTACTCCACAGGGCAACATGTAGATCCATTCTGGACTGTCATGGCTAGGAGCAGAGGGTGCCAGGATCCAGCAGGTAGGGACAGAGATAGTGCTAAAAGTACTCAGTGCCCAAGACAGTCCCCCACAGAAAAGAATTACATGAACCCAAAAATGCACAGAATGTAAGCTGGCCTAGACACAGTACAGGGGCCCCATTTTCCCTGTCTAGGAGGAATCACATTGCCTGTTCTCTATGCATGTACCTCAAAGCCCCAGGATCTGGTTCCAGCAGCAGCTCTGACAGTACTGGTTCTCTGACCGTTGGCATTGTTATCAGTTCTGCATCATCATTTAAATATGACTGAGTCTCATCTACTTTGTTGAACCCCTCACTGATTTTACTGAGAAGTATTTCACTTATAGAAATTGACATTTTGGGGCCGGTGCCGTGGCTCACTTGGTTACTCCTTTGCCTGTAGCGCCGGCATCCCATATGGGCTCTGGATTCTAGTCCCAGCTGCTCCTGTTCCAGTCTAGCTCTCTGCTGTGGCCCAAGTGCTTGGGCCCTTGCACCCACATGGGAGACCAGGAGGAAGCACCTGGCTCCTGGCTTCGAATTGGCACGGCGCGCCGGCCATAGCGGCCATTTGGGGGGTGAACCAACGGAAGGAAGACCTTTCTCTCTGTCTGTCTCTCTCACTGTCTATAACTCTACCTGTCAAATAAATAAAAAATTGAAAAAAAAAATTGACACTTTGAGAAGCAATGACTTGAACAGCCCTTATCTTGACTACTGAGGAACAGTTTTTTTTTTGAATACTATTTGTCGAACTCTAATTAACATAGTTACACATAGCATATAAAGTCAATTGAAAATAGATCTCAGTAAAAAATAAGAGTGGGAATGAGAGAGGGAGGAGGAAGATGGGTTGGGAGTATGGGTGGGAGAGTGGGCAATGTGGGAAGAATCCCCATGTTCCTAAAGTTGTAATTATGAATGTATGAAGTCTGTAACTGTAAAGCTGTATAGTTCTGCATACATTCCTATGGACTTACTTCTAAGGATACAGTTTAAAAACTTGCCATGGGACCCCAAATCCCCCTAAGCTAAATGGTAAAAATACCATCATAAGCATTTTAAAGTGATCATATGAATAGGATTAAGGGTCTGGTAATAATAAAAGAATTAAAAAGGAGTGAATGCCCAAACATGGGAAGCAGTCCACACAGCAGACTCATAGAATGACAATAGCTTTAAACGGCACTCTGACCTCAGAATCAGCCCTTAAGGGACTCTGATCTGGCTGAAAAGCCCACAAGAGCATTTCAGGCATGGAAAACCAAGACACTGGGGCAAAAAAATGTCCTACATGATGGATCTCGGTAGATGAGACCCCAGTGGAAAGAAGTGGAGGGAGAAGAGAACTTCTACTTTGCTTATGGCATTGTCCAAATACTGACGGAGTTTGTGGATTCAAAAGGCTTCCATAGCCTAGGCAGTCTGTGTCAAGAGCCTCGGGTGGTCACCGACATCATGCATTAGATTGTTAACTGTTAAATTAACAAGAGTCACTATGAACTAACTTCCCATGTATGACCTCTGTCCTCAAAGAGTTGTATTATGTCTAAATGCTCCCAAAAGATTATCATTGAGTGCTTTGTTAATTAAGTTTCTATTAAAAAAAAAAAAAGTGAAATTAACTTCAAGACACAATGACTTTGAACAGCTCTCATCTTGACTGTTGAGAAATAGTTTTTATTTGTTTCGGTTTTTGGTTTTTCTTACCATGCAAATTTTTGAACTGTTTAGTTAGTACAGAGTTGGCCTTCTGTGTATAAAGTTCATCGAAAATGGATCTTAGTGGAGAATGGGACTGGGAATGGGAGGAGGAGGTGGAGGAGTAAAGGTGGGAGTGCGGCTATAATGAGAAGAATCCCTATATTCCTAAAGTTGTACTTATGAAATGTGTGAAGTCTGTATTGCTTAAATAAAAGGGTTTTTTTGGTGGAAAAATAAATAAAATAAATAAAGCATTTCACTTACAGTAAACATCTACTTCAAGTTTATAATTTGAAATGTGATCACTCTATAGGGCTGTGAAACTACCACTAGAAACAAGATACCACTGTTCCCATCATTTGCGATTCTCAGGTGTTCTGCAGTCTATCCTCCCCTCTCCAGCAACCATAGCTCTCCTTTTCATCATTCTGAGTCTGCAGGCACCTTACATAAATGGAGCCAATCTGCTGACTGTTCTGTGAATGACTTCTTTCACTCAGCTAACTTCTTTGCTTAAGAACCCCTTTCTAGTTCACCTGGATGACATCTACTCCTCTTTCAGTTCTCAGTTTCCTCCAGAGACTCTTCATGGCATCTTTCCAATCACCTTCCCAAAACTGGGTGAGATTTTCCCACTTTATGTCTTGATCACAGCACTTACTCCAGTATTATATTATAGCACATAGTATTTTCATTAAACAAATAGCCATCGAGTACCAACCATATGCTAGGTACTGTGATAAACACTGAGGAAGTAATAGTGAGCAAAGAACTGTATTAACTCACTTGGTTCTCAAGATTGTAAGAAAGGTACCATTTATTATTTCCACCACACAATGAATAACTTAAAAAGTTGCTCTAGATCACCCATATTAATAATTACAAAAAATCATTTGCTTGTTTGTCCCCCTACTAGATTGCTTTCCTAAAATAGTGACTGGACTATAGCACATATATCCCTGTTATTAAGATATCTACTTTCTGATTGATTGTGAATACACAAGATGTTTCCATTTGTTTTACTAAATAAAAAGAAAAATGGCAAATTAAGTAATGGCTCATATGTACATAGATTCATGCATTTTTAATTTTTTTAAAGATTTATTTATTTACTTGAAAATCAGAGTTAGAGAGAAGCAGAGACAGAGAGAGGTCTTCTATCCACTGATTCACTCCCCAAATGGTCACAAGAGCTGGAGCTGGGCAGATCTGAAGCCAGGAGCCTGGAGCTTCTTCCAGGTCTCCCACACAGGTGCAGGAGTCCAAACACTTGGGCCATCTTCTACTGCCTTCCCAGGCCATAGCAGAGAGCTGGATCGGAAGTGGAGCGGCCAGGACTCCAACCGGTGCCCATATGGGATACTGGCACTGCAGGTTGTGGCTTTATCCGCTATGCCACAGCACTGGACCTCATTTTTTATTTTTTACAAATCTTATTATATAGGCTGTCATTTAATAAATCTTACCTAAATCTCTGGCAAAAATAAAGATTCTTTTCGGTAGTCCTTCTCCCATTTATGTCATCGCTCCCATGAGCAAGTTGAAGGGTCCCACACTGTCTACAAGTTAAAGTGGATAAAGCAGATGTCTTGCCTGTCATTTACATTCCCCCATAATTTGGCCTCCACTTTACCTTCAGTGACCATATGCCAGATCTTCAGAGAAATAAAGATCTGAATATTCTCTATCATTCCCCTTCTCTAACTTTGTCCTTCAAATAAATAAAACAAACAAACAAAAAACCTCTACAACAGTCCGTCTTTACCTCTCAATTCTCTTCTAAAAGAAAAGAAGATTACAGCCAATCCCTACTTATTCTTTGGATCCTAGCTTAGATTTCATTTCCTCCAGGGCTTTCATCTACTAAATCCAAATTAGATAGCACTCCTCTGTATACCATAGCGCCTTGTACTTCCTGTCACAAAATTTTTTCACACAATATTGTAATTGCCAACGGATTTATCCATGAGCTGGGTGAGGCAGCACATCATGCTCTCTTCAGTTATAACTTGAGTACTCAGGATACTTTATCTAGCACTGGTTCATAAGTTTTTGCTGAGTGTTAAATTAGACATTATACAGATTATGAAAGAATATCCCCTATCACTCCAGATTTGTGTCTAATCTATGAACAGGATCTGAAAAGTAGAAAGTTGAGCATAGGTCACTCAAAAGTAAAAAACGGAAGTATAAAAACAGTAATGTATAAGACGAGATGTAAGGGTAAAAGTAGAGAAATGAAATTAGGGAAACCTTAGGGAGGTCAGCAGGGGGCAGAATGGGTCAGCAAAGAGAAGGATCAGTAGATGTAGATCAATTTACTTTTGGATCTTCAGGGAATATGTTGTCCACCAGGCGTTTGTAGCGAGGACGCAATGCAGAACAGCAGCAACATACTCCTGTTTAAAAAACAAAAAGTACAGAAATATTAGTATTGTAAACTGACCTAGAAATTCCAGTTTCTGAATATGGGTATGCTACTTAAAATAAAAAGTGTAAACTGCCACAAACAAAAAAAGGTATGTAAATTCAGAAAGCGACACAGAAATGAGAAAGCTATATTTTTCACCCCTCCCAAACACAGCTTCTAACAATCTGCATGTGGGGTGGATGTCTGGCACAGTGGTTAAGGTGCCATTTGGAAACCCCCAATCCCATATGGGAATGCATGGATTTGTGTCATAGCTCTGCTCCCAATATCAACTTCCTGCTCACCTACACGCTGGGAGGCAGCAGCAATGGCTCGGGTAGTTTGGTCCCTGTCACTTACATGGGATACCCACATTGAGTTCTGGGATCAGCCCTGGCTGTTGCAGGCATCAGGGAGGGAACCAGTGGATGGGAGATCCCTGTCTGCTTCTCTCTTTGCCTTTCAGTGAAATACAGCTTTAAACATTTTTTTAAAATTTAGAGGTAGGGGCCAGTGTTGTGGTGCAGTGGGTTAAGCTGCTGCTTTTAACGCTGGCAATTTGCATCAGGACATGAATTTGGGTTCGAGTCCTTGCTGCTCTACTTCCAATCCAGCTCCCTGCTAATGTGAGTGGGAAAGCAGTTGAAGATGGCAAGAATCTGGGCCCCTGCCAATCACTTAGGAGGATCCAGTTAGAAGATCCAATGTGGCCATTTGGGGAGTGAACCAGTGGATGGATGCTCTCTCTCTTTCTCTCTCTCTCTGTCTTTCAAATCAATACATAAATATTTTTTAAAAAAATATGTGTGGAGCCAGCACTGTGGTGTAGTGGGTAAAGCTGCCGCCTACAGTGCCAACATCCCATAAGGGCACTGGCTGGAGTCCTGGCTGCGCCACTTCCGATCCAGCTCCCTGCTGTGGCCTGGGAAAGCAGTGGAAGATGGCCCAAGTCCTTAGGCCCCTGCACCCACATGGGAAAACTGGAAGAAGCTCCTCATTCCTGGCTTCGGATTGGTGCAGCTCCGGACGTTGTGGTCAACTGGAGAGTGAACCAACAGATGGAAGACCTCTCTCTCTCTGCCTCTCCTTCTTTTTCTGTATAACTTTCAAATAAATAAATAAATCTTTTTAAAAAACATATGTAACACACACATATATATGTGAGTAAATGCTTGAAGTACAGATTACCTGAACTTCGTTCTAAGCAGATCGCTATCATGTTACTGAGTTACGACAAGCAAGAGACAACTTCTCCAGATCTCACTTTCTTTATGAAGCATGCAGCTTTCACATATATCGCACAATCAATACCAAAGACAAGTGAGTGTCCAGCACAGCCAAAACAAATAAAAACAAGACCAGATTTGCAGTAGAGGGGAGTCATTAGAATAGTAATAAAAATAAGACCCAGTTAAGTTTGACATAGACTCCTCAGTGATCATAAAATACTAGGGGTACATTACCTAAGATTTCCAGCAACCTAATGAGCTTTCATCATTATCACTACTTAATAGAAGCATGAATTGCAGAAGTAATCCAGTAACTTACTCATCAATAATGGCTTCTTTCTACACCATACACACTATAATGGTCAAATCAATCATTGCCCACATATTTAATTTGCAGAGATAATATCCCTACTCCTGAGGAGTTTATAAACTATTACAAAAAATAATGAATTCACCAACATATACTCAGGCAATACATACTGAAAATACAAAATGTTCCACTGCTCAAGCTGTTTTTTAATAGGAGAAAACATTGTACAGAATCTAATATTCCAAAGAGTTAACTTTTCAAAATAACACTAAAATATTTTAACCCCTTTTAGATTCGAAAAGCAAAACACATATTTGATAACTGGGATGAAAAAAGGGTTAAAAGCCAAACTGGCAAAAGTCATATTTCCATATCTACTATACTCTTTTACTTTGTATAAACATTAATACTGACACTGAAATAAATTAAAATCAAGAATGTATTGAGTATTGATCAGATAAGACTGAGCTAGGTATTGCAATGATGAAATTAGTTGACAACTTGATAAGATTTAGATGAATTCTTCGCTAATTTTAATGCAAGGCCACATACAGCAAACTCAAATTGTTATCATGACAAAAAGACCAGCACTCAGGCTGAAGACCCAGTTGTAACGGGTTAAGTTTCCCATCAGAATAGTAAATTTTGAAAACATCCTTACTGGATTTCACTTACTGACACTTTCTGCTAGCATACATTATCCATTACTCTTAGTTTAAAGGAGCTTGAAAAATAAATATGAATTTGGAATGCAAACAGTACCCAGGTTCTCAATTTCAGGAAGCCTAGATTTCCTGGAGAAGACAGATCAGCAAAATCACAATTCAGACATGCAGTATAATTTTAAAGCATGAGCTCTGGAGTCAGACGTATATGCGGTGAATCTGGAATCATGTCCAGAAGGGAAGGGGAGAAGTAGGGGTGGGAGACACAAGCAGGAGGTTACTTGTCTTACCACACCTATCCGTCACCAGTAACACAGATGTAATAATATTTTTCATAATCACTATGAAAATTGAAGAAAATTATATATATTTATTAAGCATTCCATAAAATGGTAACACTCTTGGTAATGTAGAGTAATAATACAATCAGGCTAAGCTTAAGGTGATCAAGGGTGCAACAATGAGAAATCTTTGCCGTAAACTAATCATTTAAAAATCTCAATGAATTTCATATACAATGCACAACAAGCTTTCAATAAGAATACCAGTACCAGCTGGGTTAACTGCCATTTTCTGAACACGATGTGTGTACCATACACTAGGGGCTTTTCAACATTATTCCTTTACTGCTAGAGCAGCTCTGTGAGATGGGGGTTATTATCCCCATCGATGAAGGAGGAAACAGAAGTTTCGTGAGGCCCATTTGCCCAGCGTCATCTAGCTGGCGAAAAGCCTCAGCAACCATGAATCCTACTCAGAACTGATGACTTCAAAGGGCAACTCTGACACTACATTCAAGTGCCAACGTCCTAACTGCTTAAACATTTTAGCTTTCTACAAATCATGACTGATACACATGATTGCAGGAATGTGTGTACCTAACAGATGAGGAATGCGCTGCGTAACAGGCAAGTAAAAACACCAGTGAGGTTTTCAGGAAAGGCCATAATGAAACAGAAATACCTGCATGACCACATCCTATAAATGAAAAGCTATCCACTATAAAGATTTATGAAATGAGGTTAAAAGTTTACATTTGCCAAACTTTTTATGAAATTGTACTATACAATAGACAATATAAGGTTAAAATGATTGGCAATAATCATAAAATAAATTACTTGAGAGATTACATTAAGTAAGAGAATACAGTACTTACGAACATCACAAGAACAGATAAAATCAAACCATTAGACCTACTCGGATATAGAAATGTGGTTGACTCCCTTGAAGTAAATTCATAAGGCTTTTCTAGTTCGGCTGCAGGTACCTGGACGTAGTCCTTCATGTTGTAGTAAGACTATTTTCTAGTTGATCTTCCTGCTTCTAGATCCTTTTACCTACTGATCAGGAAGTGCCTAGTTCACTTTACTTCTAATTAATTAGGAGAGAACACTCAGTAACTTATCTACATTGTGGCTGACATCAAATATAAAGCTAACAAGAACTTGATAATATCCATATCAAATTCTGCTAACAAAGCCACTTAGCCTAAATAAAATACTAAGGCAGTTGCATTGCTAGTTGATAAAAGCAGATTTTCAAACAGTTTAAATAAAAAAGTGCACTTGCTTATATTTTTTTTCTTAATGCATTCTTTTAGTACCTCCCAACAAACTCACTTGACCCTGATACCATCCTATTTTCAACTTCTTCCTTTTTTCAAAATGAAAAATAAAAACTGGCTGAACACACACAAGTCCCCCCAAAACTGGCAAGCCTAAGCAATATGAATTCTTCATTTAATTTTAGCACATGAAGTTTGAGAAAGTCATTCATTCCTCTCCTAAACATGTGAAACTCAGAGCCCTGATTATGATACATAAGAAGAAATGAAACAGGAAGGCTCAAGTAGAATAACTCAACTATGGGAAAATGGAACTTGGGTACAGTTAGAAAAGAGAAATTATAGGGGGAAAAAGTACCAGACTGCCTTTTTAAAAGATTTATTTATTTATATATTGGAAAGGCAGAGCAACAGAGAGATCTTCCATTCCTAAACGGCTGCAACAATCAGAGCTGGGACAGGCTGAAGCCAGGAGCCTGAACCTCCTCCCAGGTCTCCCATGTCGGTAACAAGGGCCCAAGCACTTGGGCCATCTTCTGCTGCTTTCCCAGGTGCATTAGCAGGGAGCTGGATCAGAAGTGTAGTAGCCCGGACTTGAACTGACACCCGTATGAGATGCCAGCACAGCAGCAGCTGCTTAACCACTGGGCCACAAGGTCTGTCCCTGCATATTCTAACAGTGTGCAGACAGGCTCAGGGGGCATTAAGGGTCTCTGAGCATCAGTGAGCAAACAGGAAAAGCTTCTACTAATCTCTCAAGGTTCAGAGTACTAAATTAGTAATCTAAAAATTTCTTGGGGTGGATAAACCACCTAAATGCATTTAAAATGTTTTTTGCAATTCGTGCCTTTTACATACTCCTAAGCTATCACTTCTTAAAAACACTGAGAGAATTTCTTCTCTTTATTCTCATGTGGATTCACCAGTCTCTAAAATGATGGAGGTGCACGGATGCCTATAAGAGGAAATAAACATTCTTTGATGGGAAGGCATTAGAATTAATCTCCGCCCCTCCTCACTCATAGAGGCACTCACAGGAGGATTTGAGCAGCCATACGGAGAACCTGACCACCCAACTCAGGACATGGATCAGGCCCATGGGCACACAAAGGTGTACTGACAAGCAGCAGCATTCTGTTCCACTAGCGAGACCTCTGGTTTGGGATAACATTTGTTTTCCTGTGAGTAGTTGGATAATTAAAATGACTCCTTTTTAAAAAA